ATCCCACCACAGAAGTTAATTTCCATTACGTATTTTCCAAGTTTAGCGCATGTTATCGAGCATTACACAAGTAGTGATTACGAATTATGAATGTATTTTTGTGAGATTGAATAAATATATATTAAAGCTTGAATGTTATGAAATACAGTTTGATGCGTCAGTTTGTAATAGAAAACTTTAATTATGGTAGGAAACCACCGAAACCGAGTCAAACCGCCATGAAATAAAAACAAAAAACAACAAAAAATAGCGTGACGTGATAACAGAAAAGAATTACGGGGAATCCGTGCTTGGCACGTAATCGTCTAATTTTCAAAGTAAACAATAGAGCAAATTGGCTTTTCATCTTCAGACATTTCCTACGATTCACATCGAGAAAATGGAAAGCAATCGTCCAATTTTCAAAATAAACAAAGACGACAATTTTATGTAGAAGTTCTTTTCTCATGCTATCTTTGAAATGTTAAGGCATGATTAAGGAAGTTTCATTGTTTTCGATTCACGCTATTCCGTGATTTTGCGCAATACCTTTGAGGATCACGTAACATACTCTCAGAACTTATTGTTTTTATTCCATCTTTATTCAGCTTTATGTCATTATTTTTCGGTCTCTACCGTGTGCTTTAGTCATTGTTGTTTACGAGGGGTTCTCGGTTATTTTTCAACACGGAAGAGATCAGTAATAAGAGTATGATACGCCACAGCTGTGTTTCACAACGTTTGTTCGTTTAAATTTCGATATTGATTTTCTAGCTATATTTCCTGCTTAAAAGTTATTTTTAGTTTTGTAGCGTTCGTCGATCTCTAGCATTGAACTATGCATGTGTCGGTTGAATTCCCTTGTATTCCTACCTTGTGATGTTTATTCAAGTTCAGATCTAAAAATACATCCCAAGAAAAAAATAGCTTCCCAATCATCTGGACCACTTTCCCCCCTGGGACGGGCTTCAGCTAAAATCCCGGAAACAAAAAAACTTCTAAGAATAAACCTATATCTGTGTGCCATTATCTTAGAAATTTCCGGAAAAACCGCTTTTCTCTCGACAGTTCCTGTAGAAATCATTTGAAATTGATCTCACACAAACTCGCACAAAAACATTACGGCAGGTTCCTCGGCAATTGCCAGAAAACCGAGCTTGTTTTGATCTGTCAAATTTAAAATCATCGAGTATTCGCCCTTGTTGACAATTCCTTCATAAAGATCTTAGTTCACTTTCACTATTCATTCCAGCCCTCTCCCCACCGCTGCCGTTGGAGGAGGGCGAGGGGGTAAATGATGGGGCCAACCAATATCTGAGAAGGAAACTATCAATTCTCAAATCAAGGTGAAAGTCCCACAGAATTTGCTATTAGCTTGTGGACGATTTCTGGAAGAAAACTTAAAACTATTCTATGCCTTTATAATCACTACGCTATTATCCTACCCCTCTCCCCACCGCTCCCTCACGATCTGTAGGAAAACTTCCACTTTCTAAGAACAAAAAAAAAACGTTTCCCTCGAAAACATAAACACAAACCCCTACCCTATCCCCTCTACAGGCGTTGAGTAAGAGCAAGGGCTACGTGACGAGACCAAACAACGTCTGAGAAGGATACTGTCAATTCCCAAACCAAGATGAAATTCCCACAAACCCTGCTACCAGTTTGTTGACGATTTCTGGAAAAATCTTACACTTATTCAAAGCCGAAATAGTCACATTACTGTTATCTCCACCCCTCTCCCCTGCGCCACGTCATGAATACCAGGAAAAACCGATATCGATCGACTCCTTTCTTAGAAACAACAGTCGTATTTCCTAGAAAACCCGAACACAAACCTCGGTTACCCAGAACAAAGCGTGGGTGTACGTCATAAAAACTTCAAAGCCCACGCAAACAAGGCGCTTGAGGACTTTCAAAGCGCTGATTTGACGGACTTTAACGGCAACTTTTCAAGATCGTTCGTATAGCAGTCGCGGATAAAGTCGATGAAAGATGCCAGCGTCACATAGTTGCTGCTGTGGACTGTGGAGATTACGCCGACCAAGATTTTTGTTCAAGTCACGTCCTCAGGACCAAGTCACAAATCAGTATAGCAAATTCAACACCGGGAGGATTACAAGTGAGTAAGGGTTTTTGTGATCTTGTAAATGGGAAATGAGCAACATTTGCGAGCGTCTCAAATCTTACGTACATTGCATCAGTAGTGAACACTGCCTCACTACTAAATAAAGTACAAATGTTGGAAATTTCAAGGAAAGATGCTTGCTTGAGTCAGGCATAACGACCAAAAGGTGACCGTTGTTCCTTTAAGAAGCCGGTTACCATTCCACAATGCATTTAGAAACGCATGTAAACTTTAAAGAGGGTAGACGAGTTCGATTTCCGGCCGGTGTCGCTCGTTCTTCGCAAAAATAATTTACGTTACTCTGCTACAGAAAATGCAAGACTACCGTACCCTATATTAACCTTGCTACTTATTCATCAATGACTTGGAAACGCAAATGTTTGATTTGAAGACTAAAGGGGTGGCTTTAATCATCCTAGAGTACAGTTAATCGATATTGTGTCTTTGGACTATCGAATATTATACTCAAGATCAACAAGGTTTATTCAGAAAGCCTATTAATACTGACGGCATATCGCCCTCGAACTGTACATTTATCCGCCCCATATGCCCAAACCTTATAGTTATGGACGCATCTGTCAGTCAGATACGCGCTATTTCTCACCGGACTGTTAAATTTTTTTAACAATATTTTCAGCTATCGGTTGAGCCCTACGCATGAACTGAACGTGCGAAATACTTAAACGCTAGCCAACAAACTTAACAAAAAGTTAAGGAAAATTAACCAGGCCTATCCTACAGTTGCACGACACGACTGGAAATACACTTGAACTCATCGATATCTATGCGTTAATACTACAATAACATGTTAAATGTTACGCGTTATTCCTGGGTGCCTTAGCAGGCCCACGGTAAGGTTTGCCCAGCGTTCCTTTCTGACGAAACTTGACAAATTTTTTTAAATGCTTGAAATGTTTGACATCTGATAAGTTACCAGTGAATCGGATTCTTGTGTTTGCGTAAGGTTGTTTCGATGTAAAATACGCGATTTTGGTGAGAGATCACAGCTATTTCGCCGCCATTATATCACAAATAGATTTAAGTAATGTCGATACGAGGGAAGCGTACGTTTGTAATAGAATCTGTGGATTAACCTCTCACCTTGTGCGAGGTTTCTTGTGAAATTGACATAGCGTAATGCCTCGAAATATCACAAAATTAACCACTAATCAGTATTCTTTCAACCGTATTTACGGTACGTGTGTACAGCCTGTTTCCGTACTTGTTAACTTTTTTGATAAACAAATTACGGCGGCTGAAAATGAATGTCCTCAAAGGAGAGAAGTCATTATGAACGGAAACAGAAATTGTTTTCACCGTACTGTTGCTCTTTGGCGGGATAAAACAAGCTATGACAAACACGAGGAGATCAGTTAGTAGGTCAAATTCCAGGTCTTTGAGCCGCCACTCTTCACTATTTTCAACTACAGACACAGCCATGGCTTCTTTAACACTAAAATTATAGACAGTGATTTCTACGGCTGATCTAACTGACCAACCAAAGTAGTTTACTGTAACTGCACAATTCTTTCCAATGGCATGCCCAGTAGCCGACGCATCCCACGAAATTGCCTTTAGGCGTCTTCAAGAACAACAGTGTTGTTGTTTTCTTTGATTACCAAAGCTATCGCTAGATTGCAAGAGTTCGATTAGTGTTTCGTTTGATTTGGTTTATCACTTAAGTACAATGTCTAGCGGAAAGTGGAGGAGGGGGTGATGGATACGTCGCGCGAATACTGAGTAAATACTACGGACAAAGATACACAATCTTCACAAACCACACAGACTCAACACTATCTCAGCTTAAATTTTCGGTAAAGGGCTTTCTAAATCGTCTTTGAAACTAATAGTTTGGTCTGACGATAAATTATTTACCATCAGCAGATCCAGTCCAGTGCACTGACCAAGAACCCCCTTTTTTGCTAAGAAGAGCCTTTGGAAAAGAAGAGTTCTTGAACCCCACAATTTCAGAACATCAGCTGAAGCGAGTCTATTTAGTTTATGAAAGGATAGAAACAGAAGCAAACTTCACAGATTGAATTGATCACATGAATGTAAATGAAATCATGGATTTTGAACATTCAGTTTCGAAATAAAATATTTGAAAGAATGTGCCTTATGTAGTTTTATGTGAGATTGTGGAGTGTAAAAAGTGGTGATGTATGACGTTTGAGGAACTAGCATTCCCAGGAACAAGGGGGCAAGCTACGAACTAGGAGGGAAGCGCTAATCAAATTATATTACATGTAATGATCTGTTACGTTGCTTTCGGTTGCGAGTTCTCAATAAGAACCCTGCTTCTCTCATTTCAACAACATCAGTTCAATCCTTAAAAGGAATTTCCTTCCATAGGGGAGAAGGCGTATATATTTTTCAAATTTCACTACTGTGCTTCTTCAAAGATCTTAAAATAAATACAATGAAAGATCATTCCGTTTTTGCCCCAGCTCTTTCCCCTTAGCAACTTCTTAAAGGAACAATATGACGAAACGATGCTGAACTCCTCATTTAAATTTTAAGCAAATGAATTAAAGGCATTTCTCTGTAGAGAAACGCTTGCATTTTCTCAACTTTCCTTCATTTCTCACCCCGTAACGCGTCTTCAACCACAAGTGGCAAAGCACTTGTCGAATCAACGGAGGAATAAACAAGCCCCAGCACTGCAGACATGGGTTAGGTGCATGTACCCTGTGAGTTGGGAATTTTGGGTTGAGCTAGGAGCCCATGAGTAATGGGCTCCTGATTGAACTCATTTACGGATGGTCAGCGGCTGCAAAAGGCGCCTTTAAAGAGCTGATATCTGGTATAATACTGTGCCTTTAAGCGAGTGCAGCAGTGATTTTTCAAAATATGCATTTGTAAGCCCGGCATTGCTGGTACATTAGGTATGATTAATACGCCACAATATTCCTGAGGGGTTCCTCTCTGTACCTCTGATCGCGATTTAAAAATAGGACAGTAGCAAGACTTCCTTAGCTAATCAGCAAGGAAGTATGACACCCGCAAGCTCGATATGAGCCTTGCAGTGCCGCAGAAATCACGACACAAAACTGAGAAAAGTCGTAACAAGTTGGATTGGTAAACGAGGATTAAGAGGATGAACCAGTGCTGCTACAGGTCAGCAGATGGGAACGGTACTGTTTGTTAAGTCCTGTCATCCAAAACTTCAGAACAATCTCGTCTTCGGGTTTTGCACCAAGAATTTTCAGAAGTCTGTAACCGGTATAACAAGGTACAATTAAATAAAGCTTCAGATAATGATCAACCATACAAAGCATAGGCGAATGTGTTCCTCAAAATGAAAAATTCTCGAAGTTGAAGAAGACTGTGTAAATATAAGGCTGATGCCACTATCGGTAAAAGATATAAAGAAATATGGCTGCGTGAAAACTGGGAATGAATGAAATGGGAGCGGTCCCCGATTCTCTGCTTTTTTAAAATTATTTTCCTCGACCAAACTAGCTTGAATATCAGGGGTAAGTTTCTAAGAAACTATAAAGCTGTGTAGGTAGAGGGTATCACGGGATAATTTGGTTTTGTAAATTGGTTGATAAGGTAGATTTGCCAACGTAAAGAGTTTCCAAAGCTGACGTTTAGAGCGTTAGCCCTTCGTCGCTCGCTCTGACAAAACCTCAGCTTTAAAAACTCTTTACATACGGTGGCCAATTTATATTATTACCTCAGTTGAAAAAGTTATCCCGAAAATCAAATGATAGCGCGAAACATTGAGTACGACGGATGGATAAAATTCGAGAGGAAGGAAAAGATTGCAAGATAAAAGTTTGAATTACACGTTTGAACAGTGGGAAAAAAAGTGATCTATAATCATGCATGACACGGCTGATATCACACCCTAATTTTTTGTATAAGAAATTTGATGGGGTAAAAGCAGCGTGTATCAGCAGCGTGTATCAGCGAGAATAATCCACAAATAGCAGGACTCAAACTGATACAAGATTTAGAACGAAGTTATCTAGCTAAAGAAAATACAAATGATTTAAACTTACTTCTCTTTATCCTCCTTGGTGCTTGGACCTGACCTTGAAAACTTGAAAATCACTTTTACTTTGCTACAAAAATGTAAAAAGTGAGAAATTGGGAGTAAGATGGGGATAGCATGCTTTTCGAAAAAATTCAGAAAGCTTTAACCCTTTACACCCTAACATCAGTGTTCATATTCTCCATACTGTTCACTGTACATTTACTAAGGTGCTGTTTCTTTAATTGGTGATCATTTCCTTTATTCTCATGACATTAATGTGTGATTCAGGGGTGATATTGTACGGAGAAATTAGATGCTGGTCACTCTCAGGGGTTCAAGGGTTAAATTGCGACTTACTCCATCCATTCTTCCTTCAGACAAGTCAACAGCTGATCAAAAACTGCATCCGAGAGAGAATCATTCGCCAGGGCGCCTTCTACTTTCTGGAGAACGGTGGGATCTACATATATAGTTGAAAGAGCACAGACTACCCAATAAGAACCAGCCAGAGATTTAAAAGGATCTACATTTTAGGGGCTTGGCATGGACCCGATGAAGACTGTTTTAGGTAGCAGTGAATATAGTATGATCGTGTAGTCTGATCTTCCGGGTGAGGTTAGTGCTGAGAACGACTGTAGCTGGTAGTAGAGACTAATGTTTCTACGACCTGAGCGGATATCATCATCAAAGTCAAGTGAAGTGCCACTGTCATTCGAGTCATTCATTAAGTCCGATTCGTGTAAAATGATCAGTCAGTTTAGCCGTGATGTGATTGGCTCAAGACTCGAGTGGCGTAAGTCGGTTGTGATCGGTCAGTATGATCATGCATCTAGATTCTGATCATAACCCTAAACAGAAGGTATGTCATCAAGATTCTGATGATAAAATCATAACGAAAAGAGACTGAATCCTACCTGTCGCATTCTCTTTACCAAAAACAACAAAGCCATACCCAAGAAAGTCTTGTTCTTCATCTCTATTTCAATATAAGAGAAAGGTGATAACAAAACGTTTACCGCGACGACCATCAAAACTTGTCCTATTTGATTATAACTCAAGAAATCAGAAAAAAAATACACTGACCTTGGCTGCTCCGAGCCAGAAGCTTCAGGGACCTGGACCTTGGTAAGGGATGGAAATTTTGAAGAGGTGGTAACTATTCAAAGAGGGCAAACCCTAGGAACTAACCTGTGATTCTACCTAGCTCTGAAGGATGACGAATGTGGTACAAACAGGTTTCTGACCTCTGACATTATAAGTATAATTGCTTCATATTCAAGTCAGTTTTATTTCAGTATCAAGAAAAGGCAATAACTGGGATTATCACTGCGGCAACGCTTTTTCTTACCTGCTCTCGAGGTGATATGATATCAAGCAAAACAAAGAGATCTGATGACAACACATGCGAAGGAATCTCTACCCCAGGAGCAAGACCCAGGAAATTACACCGCCATGAATCCTAAACGAGTCAGACAGAATAAATAGAGAGAGAGAGAGAGAAAAAAAAAAAAGTTGCTGACTAGTGCCGTGAATATAAAACTTCTAGGAGGATATTAAAGTCAACGTCCATCTTCAAAGCAGTTGAGCTAATGAAATCTTCTCTAAAGATCTCCCGTCCTTTTCAATGATTATACATAACACAAAAGAATTTGCAGGGCATCTTTCAAGCCAGGCCAAGCTCTTGACAGCTATTTATTACTATAGATTTCACGTTTAAAAAAACGAGTTCTGAAAGGTAACGTGTTCTTAAGCTGTTTCCAACTAGAATTTACGACCCATCTTAAATGAGGCCCCCTTCTCAACATATTTACATGGATGATGATAGTGATGATTATAATTGTAATTATGGATTAGAAAAAAAGGAAACGAACAAATAGAAAAAATGTACATCCAGGGACCGAAGTGGGCCCTAACTTAAACTGAACTCCATTCTGCATAACTGATTGAGAGGAGTACTTTTTTATCAATTTCTGTTTTCATATTTCTATTCGCAACTATACCTTGTATTTCTTACTGTAAGGAATACACGAACAACAACCACTCGGTATCAGTACCTGAAAAAGGGTGGTGTGATATGATTAATGGGGTTAACAAATAAATAAAAAAAAATCGATGACACGTATGCATTCGGCAAAGAGTGCTACTGAGTGATTGAGTTACTTTGAGGCAGCTGGGACTTCACTTCCTAACGAGCGAACACAAAGTCCATGCTTATACAAGCGCACCAGTAAACAAAGGAATAAGAAACAGAGACAAACGGCCGAAATATCGCTCAAGGGGGTCAGGTCTTAACAATTCAATTGTCCACATTGACAGAAGTCATGCAGGTTTGTGTGGCGTGAAGTGAGAGGTATTTTGTTCTTATTTGGTTACCAGTTCCTCGTGAGAATCTTTACTCATTTTGTCACATTATGTGGCACTAGGCACCATGACAGAAAAGTAATGTGCAGAAAAACCCATCAAATTTGGGGATTGGGGAAGGCGCAATGGTGAGAGCACCTGCCTCCCACCCCTACGGCCTGGGTTCGTTTCCTAGACCTGGTGCCACATGTAGGTTGAGTTATTGTTAGTTTTCGTCCTTGCTCCGAGGGTTTGTCTCCGAGTCCACCAGTTTTCCTCCCGCCACAAAAGGCAAAATTTCAAATTCCAATTCAACTTGGAAACAGTGGACAAGAAGAGCTACCTCGTGGAGTGCCCACTTTTAAATCTCATCACTATTATTATCATTATTATTATTAGTATTGTTATTGTTATTATTATTATTATTATTATTATTATTATTATTATTATTATTATTATTACTATTATTATCATCATCATCATTATTAGATTAACCCAAGACAGGGCCTTTTGCTCCCAACCCATCTCAATTTCGCCAACACGCTTCCCACAAAAATCGATGAATAGACGTATTAAATAATGTTTACACTCCACTATCTAACACGAAATAATCCATGGTGGTTTTTTGTAGATGTATCTCTCACCTTCAAGCAATTTAAGACTGATTCAACAGTCTTTCGTTTCTCACCGCGCACAATGACTTGATTGCCTTGAATCACGTGAAAAGCTAACAAATGGAACTTGTGACCTCCCAACACCTGCATACCAAGTTGATAGAATTACAACTCAGTTACGACTGTAGCTCACCTGTTTTTGGAATTACTTCAAGTCATCGCAGTTAGTTTTCGCGATGACAATTTCGCACAAAATTGCAACGCAATCGAATTGTGGCCCTTAAAATTTGATTGACTTTGAGCTGTTTCTTTTGGTTTAATGACTGATTGATCGATCGATCGATTGATCGATTTACTGATCAATTAACTTTGCTGGGTTCTGATTTTAGACTAGATGATAAGCAATAATAAAAAATAAAAAAAAAAAAAGAATGCCTTCTTAATTTCTGTTCCCGCTTCCCGCCCTCTCCCGCCCCCTGTTCTCCTGGGTTCCCGTCCCCCATCCCCCTCCTCTTAAAAGCTGTAACTACTAGTTGAATGATTGACTGATTCATCGTGAAGGTGCATCATCATTAGCGACCAAACGGATATCAGTGGATAGGATATTCCAACTGTTAGACTAAATCGCATCAAACACAAGCAACGTACCTTTAAAATGTGTTGAAGAGAGGTAAAAATTGGCCCAGTCGTTTCACCTGATTAGAAAATCAAGATATGCAAAATTCAAAGAAGATCTTAAAGTAAACTTAAAAGTTTCTCATCTTGTTCCTCTGCCTTCCCCTGACCCTCCACTGTTCAAGTGTATCAAAAGAAGGGTGAAAATTAGATAAGCATTCAAAGAGGAACTTCATTTTATAACAGTAGTGTCATGTAACTACATGTACACTGTATGCCTTTTTATCTGAGACGTAAAACGGCGAAAAGGATAATTATGTGAATTTCCAAAGCATAACTCAATCATTATTGTTCATGGCTAGCTAAAAAAAAGTGTGCTTGGGTATCAAGTGATGAAAATAAATCACTGAAGTTATTATAATGTGAGATTTGCCTACATAGCATAGACATGTATTTTCAGATTACACGTACACTTTGGGTCACCATTGGGATTTTGCTACGTTCAAAAACAGCCATTATTTCCTATCCCAGGAATGTCAATTAATTTTCCATGGTGTAATAAACGGCTGTGCCTGGAAGAGGGATGGCAATGAGAGGCCTTATTAAGGCAGTGGTTTACTGCCCTCAACTGGCTTTCACCCTTTACACCCTAACATCAGTAGACATATTTTCCAATCTGTTCTCAACACATTTCTTGAAGAGCTGACAAGGAGAATTTGTTTAACAATAAAGAACTACTATAGTTGGTGATCATTACTTTTTTCTTGTGACCTTTCTGTGTAATTTGGGGGTGATATTGAAAGGAGAAATTAGATGTTAGTCACTCTTAGGGGTTTAAGGGTTAATTGAAACACCTACCATCCTAGTAACACAGTTAAACAAATTCTTCTTTGTGTAATGTTACTTTTTTACCTTCTTGGCTCTCAGTTTCCTTTTCTGTATCAGACGTTTCTGTGAAAATGAACCAAAAAAAACTTGGTGTACAAGAGTAAAATTGTTTTTTACATATCATTTATCTATCAACTTTACCACTCATATTCACAAATGCAAAATGAAATGTACTGTATATCAATTTTTTAATCGATAGAGAAAAGAAAGATGACCAGGATAAACATTAAGAAAAACAATTATTAGCTACAACTGTAGCTGCTGCAAGTGCAGCAATCAACTTTTGAGTGCAGGTAAATTGTAAAAGTAAACCTTCTAAACTATGTGGACTTACCTTGAAGATCATCATCCTCAAAATGAGCTTCAAGATCTGTCAGTAGTTCCTCCTAGGACAATATATACGTGTACATGTAACTGTGACAATTGAAATGATGAATAGACTACATGAAGATGTAGGTTGCGTGAAACAAACTCACTGATGTTAAGATGATAATTGCATGCTATTTAACCACTGTTCATTGCTTATACAGTAGTTGTATACAGCCAATGTAAAGGTACATACTCTTGGTGGTCCTTCTAGAAGCTTTTCAGTTATTCTGTTTCCACAGGCTTTTAACATCCATGAAAACCGTTGATGAAGAGTAGCAAACAAGTCCTTTTCATGAATCAAGAAACAAGGTACATGTAAGTGGAGAAATGAATAAATTTATAGAATGATTTAAAACATGAGTTTAGATTTTTGGATCAAGGGTGTCAAGCCAATGGCTCATTTTCAAACTTAGATAGAAAATAAAGTTGAGGTGTCATAGGATTTGTCAAAATTAGGTCACTTATAAAAAGTTATAAAGTTATGCTGTAACACATGTAGTGGTGCTGGGCTACTTTTTTCAAGCCATGACCAACAGGTACATGTATCTCTCTAATGCACTCTGGATGGTTCCTGTTAATGAAAAGACTTTAAATCTTGCTCTCCAGAGGCAAATTGTCTCTGAATATTAACAAAATGATAAAGACTTTTCTGCACTTCAGAAAGAAGGAAAAGGAGGAAAAATAGTAGTCAAAAAAAATACAGTCAAGTACAAAAGACATAATTTTTTGGTTCTTTAAAAAACCTTTGTGCATTTGATACCTTATCTCCTAATATGTCTGCAATCCCTCTGTAAGTTTTATTTCCACCTCGCTGTCTTCTGAAAATATCTATTTATCATAAAAAAGAGGAAAAATAAAAGTATTCCAAAAGAAATCTTTGCACTTCTTGTATGATAAATAAAACAAAGACTGGAACTAAGTCTCTGGATATACTGTACATGCAGTTGTCATAAAAAAATAGTATTACCAGGAGCATGAAGGAATCCATTTGCACTAGGCTGAATGTGTTGTCCTTTCTGAACACTTTCTGCATGTTCTGTTTCATAAACTGCATTTGCCTAAAATTACATTTAGTATAAGAGAAGACTGGTTACTTAAAACTGAACAATGTCAAATAATTTGAAAAATCTATGTTGTTGATATATAGGAAAGAGGAAAGTTTGCTAGAGATTTACACTGATATCCACATCCACTTTTAAAATGCACATTTCAAAGGATGCCTAAATGCATGAAAAATCTCATTATTGTGTTTCTTGGTTTGAGGCTCCATTACATACAGTAGTAAACCAGTTGTTGGATTTGCAGATGATGTTGAAGCTTGAATGCTTTAGTTTGAGTTCAGCTTCTTGCAGTACAAGTGAGGAAAATCTCTGCACTTAAACAGGTATTCAAAATAACAGAGCATACCTTAGCCTGCAGTTCATCTATCAGTTCCCTGAAATTGCTGGAAACAAGAAAAAAACACAAATTTGTAAAACATTTTCTTAGTGAAACATCAAATAATTATTCTCAAAAATCAGATATATTGTATATGAAATCAATCAACATTGAAATTTTAAGAGGAAATGTCAAGGAGAAACTCACAACTTACGCTGTAGAATAACAGTGACTATGAAAATTACAATGAGAGTGAGATTGACAGTGACAGAGTCAATAACAGTCACAGTGACTGTTATAGTGGCATTAACATTGTCATAAACAGCGAAATTTACAGTGAGGTCTCTGTAAAGGTACTGATGATCAATCAGTCAAAAGGGGTTCTTAGACTACTGCTGATGCATGTATGAAAGTGAGGTAATGAGCAGCTGCCATAAATCAAGACAGAGTCTTCAATACTATTTCTCTTATTGTATCATACAATTGGAGAAAATAGCTACTGTGTAAATTTAGGAGAACACTGTTGCAGAAAAATTAGGTAATTTAGTATTATCAACTGAGTTGATGATACTAAATTTATTCAGTTGATAATGAAAATTGGCCACTGTAAAGAGTTACAAAGCTGACGTTTCACGTGTTAGCCCTTTGTCAGAGCATAATTGTTGCAGAGAAGTTGTGTTCATTTTTGCTGTTAGCATGTCATTCATGTCTTTGCACATACAGTTTACATGACTTTCCACTTTTGTTTCTAATACTTGTAACAGACACTTCAATGCAAGGGTGGGACTATTCAGTCAGCAAATGCTGCGATAGGAGAGACAACTCCTAAGGTGTTCTCCACTGCCAGCATTTGATGGGAAGACATCCTGCTTGCAATATGAATACAAGTCAAATACTGTACACTGTATGTACCTCACAAGGAATGGCCATGAATTCACCAAATAAATGCGATCCTTCATAACTGCAATTATGCTATACCTTGGGAGAAACATAGAAATATGTGAGTAAGGAGTGTGCCTATGTACAATTAAAAGATCATTTTGAAACCTCTTGGTAAACTAACTACCCAAATGATAATCATTATGTCCTGAAGGAGCTTCAAGCATTCTTTCTAAAATTTTGTCACAGCAAGGAAAGATACCACAATGCCGGTACCACAGAGAGAAATTGACTTATCACAAGTATGGTGAATATCACAACTGCAAATAACTGTTTGACTGTGTAAAATACCTACAATGGGACATTCATTTTTCAGTGGAAAAAGAGGCAAGGGATCTTGACCATTATAGGAATGCTCCCCTCATAGGCAACTGCTCTAAGGATAAAAATCATAATGTCCCTACCTCTTTGGTGAGGGCCTTTCCCATTAACAGGAAACCTCATAAAATGGAATTCACCTCGTAAAAAGGAACCCTTTTTGGTCTTTGTGATTAGGAATTAGGGGAACTTCAGTAAAAGAGTTATAGAAAAGAATAAGGAAAACAGCAATTATTGTTATTTTTTGAAATGTTTCAAAAAGGGTCTAAAGTTTTGTCAGTATATGATGAATGAACAGCTTTACATTTTAATGGTACGAGGGCTAATTACAGAAATCTTTCTCAATGATGTTCCATGGATGTTGTGTTTCATTGTAGATGTATAATTATATAAAAATGGTATCATAATGAACCATCCCCTAGCCTTTCCCCACACATCTTTTGGCATTGTAATAATTATTCTAAGCCGTGACATGTGCACTGTTTCTTGCTGTTTGACATACCATCTTTGGAATCCTCTTGACTGAGAATCCTTCAGAAAGAAGGTGTGAGTGAAAACATATCCTGATGTCTCCTCTCCAAAAAACATTGGACCCTCACGACCTGGACACACCTCACAGCTCAAACTAGAAAAAAAATTTAAAGCTCAAGTGTAAGGTGTAGAGGATAAAGGATTAAGAGGAGGGTAAGATTTAGGGCTTTTTTGATCAACTCCCACTCTGAGAATTTCACATTCCATGATTGTGCCTTTGCACTATTTATTTGCATCCTTAAAAGAGGGGTACAGGTACTGCTGCCTCAGAGTCTGAGCCATGAGGAGCAGGGAGCTACCTAACTTTAACATTGGTGAAGGAAGGAAAGTGAGTGAAGGTATTGTACAAAGCAATACAAAAACATGTGTGTCAACTTTACTAGATGAAACATTAAAAAAAAATTCACTTTTCAACAGGGAATATAATGGCAGAGCTTGATGAATAACAACTTGACCCTTCACACCCTTAGAGAGCTAAGTATCTAATTTCACCCAACAGTTTCAGCCCTAAATGACTGTGAATATATGAAAATCATATACTGCTCAATTAGTGTTCATTACTATGAAGATTGCTTTCACATTCAAGTTTCAGCCCTGAATCACTATTGAGGTCACGAGCATAAAGGAAATGCTTGCAGTCTTAAGAAGCTCTTGATTTCTTCACAAATTCTTCCTGTAAGTACCAATGGAAATGTAATGGGGAATACAGTATGGAACAGTATGGAGAATATGCATACTGATGTTAGGGTTTAACAGGCTAATGACAAATAATGCTGAAATATTATGGAAACCTGGGCATAATTATAGTGCTGTGTTTCATTCTCTCAAGCAAGGACTCGCCATTTTTTTCACTGTGGCATTCAATAAAGAATACAGGATAGACTAATAATAAGAGGGTGCTTTACCTTCCACTAAAGTTATCTATGAGCCAGTTCTTACCTTCTAACACAAGCCTGTCTTACTACGCTGTATAACTCTGGCTGCTCAGGTGACCTGTTGCTGTAGTAACTGATATGTGCTTCATGATCTATACTGATGTATCCTGCATGGGTGTGATCCAGAGACTTGCAAGCCTAAAAAAATGGTTAGACAAAGGTAACAAGTTAGGTATACATCAGATACGGAAATCTTGGGGTTGTAAAAAGGCCTATTGTAATCACTTCATGACAAAGCAGTCAGTTACAGAAGTTTACAATCAATTGGTCAGTCAGTCCATCAACAAGCCAACGAGTGAGTCAGCCAGTAAGTCATCCCTTCAGACCATCAGTGAGATATTCAGTTTATAGAAAGTTGATAAGGCAGTTAATCAAGTCATCAGAGCCTGTTTGCATTTTGTCAGATAAGTGCTGTGTCAGTTGGTTAGTTCAAAAGTCTGTCAAAGAGTACCTCTATTACATGTAGACTACAGCAGTAACATCAGAACAACAATAGGCAATTATCGGATGAGGTTGAACATGATAACAAGAATTATCAATTTATAACCCAGGTCTGAGTTATCTGCTAGGCCAAAAGCTTACACAGACATGAGGTTTGATAATTCACTTAAACGTAATTCATAAAAACTGAATTCAACAATTGTTTTATCATACATTTTTGGAAACAATCTGCAACAAAAACTTGGCCTATATTCAGCCATTGTGACATTATTCTTGGTCAATAACACACATATGTTGGCCTAAAGATCATTTTATTATGATATCCACAAGCTTATCTGTTCATGTCGTCAATGTTGTTTTACCTCACATTGGCTTGATCTGGATGATGCCCAGACATCGCGTGATCCTTGTGTACTTGATCCTGGAGTATCTGACCCAAACCGTGTAAAATTCCTGAGGAAAAGAAAATGCAACTATTTGTAATCAAATATTTATCACAGCATCCATATGGTAAAACAGGTTGTTTCAATTGAAAGGCACATTACCAATTGAGCATTACTGTTTTTCCCATAAAATATACAAATCTAATCAGCATTTTGATTGTTTACTGCTACTAATCTTTCATGTCACCCTTGAGAGCATGATGGGCCATTGTAACTGGTTGGTTTTCAAAAAATGTTCTCAGTCTGATCCCAAGTGCATTTGTGTGTCTGTCAATACAAATACCACAAATCTGTGATAACTAAGCAGCACATATGTACAAAAAAATTTACCAACAAATTTCAAAACAACGAATTCCAAACACACACACTCACACATGCACACAAAAAGTGTCGTTCATGCAATTACCGTTTGTTGCAAGCTCCACATTCTAGAACAGAGGTATTGGTTCCCTTTAAGGGGTCATGAGCTTCACAATGAAATGCCTATAACCAGAGAAAAAAAAAGAGAGAGAATTTTCCTATCAACACATTTCAGTAAGCAGGCCCACATTCAAACTAGCTTGAAGCTGAACTAAGCCGGCCTGCATAAATATTGCAAATGAATAAATAAATAAGTTATTTGTTTAGATGGTGTCTTTGTTTAATTTTTTCTCAGGACTATCAAGTAGCTGACTTTATGATTCTCATCTGTATTTACAATCGTCAGTGAAGACTGTCTTCTGTGTGATCAACTGAGGTGTTTCCATTTACAAGTACATGAACATAACATTTCGATCCCTGTTATGAGCAAAATTAGTTTGGTAACTCAACTCACGCATACATTGAACATAGGAGCAAGTCGCTGGTAAACTTTTCTGTGCTTGTTCATCAGCAAAGCAAAGCCAACTAAAGAAAAAAAATCTCCAGTCTCCAGCTCTGTATAATTTACTTTAAAAATGTAGATATGACTTTGTTTTCGGAAAAATAGACAGGTTATGTCATTTCCGGGAGTGTAATGGTTAAGAACTCTTTACAAACAGTAAAATAAACGTGCAGGTATCATTTAGCGACAGCATTATACTATGCCGAAAAATGTACAGGCATAGCTGAATAAATCTTTTGAATCTTTATACGTATGTGGACTGCTATGTAGCAGACAAATTCCAAAGTCGGTTTCAAGGATTACCTGAGTACAGAACAAGACGCTTGGTCCATGAAATTCGCAAAAGTGACACAGGGCGATGATAGCGTTCATTGTGTGAATAAATGACCAAAAACCAACCGAAAACAAACTGTGGAAGGACTGGACAAATATCTTCACGACATCTTTCGCTAAAAGTTCAATTCACTGTTTGTGTGAGATGACGTTGATATTTGCAAAAAAAAGTTATGAAAGCTGCAGCTTCCTTTCTGTCGTAAGAGCGTTCCCCAGGTAATAATAATCCGACGTTGGATGTAATGTTTAAGAACTAAAAGTTTTCCGTGGAAAGACTGTATTTTTGCGCTGAATCACTCTGCCATGACTGTCACATGATAAACAAAAAACAGTAGGTACAGTGTCCAAGCCTTCTATTTAGGCTTGTAAAGACTCATGAAGACTAAGTCCTAGTCGCGATGAGAGTCACGCGCGTCACGCGCATTGTTTCAGTCACACAAAGGTCAAGCGAAGGAACTGAGGTACTCTTAATCTTTCCTTTAGTATGTTGCGGGTAGTAATGTAGTTAATTGGTACGATTTTCCTTATGTGGTTTTCAGTGTTTTCTATCGACAAGACCAAGCTTATAAGATGCCCCGTAAAAAGTTACCACTTGAAGCTGGTCATATAGGCAAGGGAGATCAAAACAGAAACTACGAAACAAATTTCGAATAGTAGGATTTCAGCAAAAGAGAAAGCTTTGAGTGGCAGCTTTGTTTGAATTAGAAATTATCTAATAAAGTCTACGGCGTCATTTTCGTTCGGTGCTTTCCCGGCGCAAGGAGGCAAGCGCAAGGCGTGCGTGAAAAAAGAAACAAAAAACAAAAAACACACACACACAAAAAGAAAAAAAAAAGAAAAAAAGAAAGATAACGCAAACATGACAAATTCTTCAAGCAGAAATACTACATGAATAAATGACGCTGACTCACTTAGAAAATGCAACTTTTATTTACCAAACAGCTAAAAGCACTTATTTTAGTTTGTTACCTTTGCTAGTTTAATGCAAGTTATTTTGAGAGAAAAATATTGGCACCTACTACATTCAGTAATCGTTCACATTCATGATCTCAAGAGTCATGGTTGAATCTAGATAGATTAGTGCCTTCAGGTCTGCTCGGCTGAAGTTGAACAAAAAAAAAAGCAGTTACATTATTCTTACAAAATAATCACAAGTAAGCAATTGCAAAGAGAACGCGCTCTGATTAAAACGCACGCTCTGAGTTTAAAGCCAAGCTGAGATGTTTTTAATTTAGAACGTGTTCTTTGAGCCTGCTGTCACTGTCAAAATATCTAATTCTCTTCTACAATTAAATTGTTTATAATTTCATCGATATTAAAAAAGGGTGGCTTGTCCATAAAACTGTGGAAGATTACAGTAGCTCACGATAATCTAAATCTTTGCATTTTCTATTCATTTTCTGAATGAGCTCTTGGCTCCACGTTTGCACAACCGCCGGCTTAGTGACAGATATGTCAACTTTTGCACTGTTGCCTTTTGGTTCAACCACGACATCTCCCATCAGAAGGAACGTTTCTTGGTCGGGTAGCAAAGGGCATGGGCAGTCTGGTGACTCGCTGTAAGGAATATTCACGACAACACTTCCCAATGTAGGAAATCCCTCAGATTTCCTGAGCACGTTCTTTATCACGACCAGATAACGAGCTTGTTTCTTGACTGGATCATGTCGCAATTCCCTATCGACTTCGCCTACAAAAGCTGAGAGTGAAGACAATCGTTTAAAGAAAAGTTTAGACATATAAGAAAGGAAACAACACAAGACACAAAATTTTAGCACAAGGTCGACCCTCATTATCTATTCGAACTATGATCGCTATCCGTGATCTCTGGATAATAAATGTACTATACATGCGTTTCTCACCGCATAAACAAACTCAATCCTTCCAGTCATCTTATAATACCAAACACCCAGTTACACACATCAGGAGAGTGGTAATGAGGTAAGTTTATTATTGTGAGTTTTGACCAACCAAAGTTTCGCAGCGTAGCCCAGATAGAAGGACAAAACTGACTGAGAGCACTACATCTAGCGATCGGGATGCTAGTTCATATGTTTTGCTATTACGGGCTAAAGAGCTCCACGGTAGAGGGTTCGGTGGAACGTTTGTGAAAACGAAACTGGCTGCTTGGAACCTTTTCGGTAACCAAATACAGGGAAAAAGCAATATTCTCTTTTTATCACTACCATCGTCACAACTATTACTTTTAATTCACTTTTATCGCTCTTTATTTCCATGGAGAACGTGCGTCGACAACAGGCCAACTCACCGATACTGCTCGATTTGCATGCCTCACGAAGTTTCCTTTGAATGCATCTTGGACAGGCTTTGTTTCCTTGTTCTAAGAAAAACCATGTAATTTCACCATGTTCAGTAACACAAAGTGTAAAATACCGTCAACGTCAGCTTTAAAAGCTGCGATTAAGAGCACAAACTAGAGCGACTCGTAAATATATTGCACAACTGAGAGACAATCAGAAAGCAAGGATCATTAGTGATTTTATATTAAATGTAATATGGAGAAATAAAATTTTTTTTCAGAAATACAATGTATCTACTCCTCCCTCGTCCCTGCTCTTTTTTATTCATTTATTCATTTATTTATTTATTTTGCTCTCTTTCATCCAATGCCTAAGCGTGACTCCCGTTCAGCACACTCTTCTCCCGTTTATGAAGATTACTACGTAGACCATCACTCGCAATCTGATCGATTCAAGAGGAACCAGAAGATTCCCAGAGAATTCTTCTTAATCTCTTAACTTCGAAAAACCGCAAAAAACAAGGAACGAAAAATAAAGCGGCAGGAACACCTTACCAGTAATCACAGGAGGGCAGCGTTTATTGCATTTTTCTTTGCTGTCAAAGTTATTTTCATTTCCAAAACAGCCTCCATAGTTGAATCGTTTACAACGACCAGCTTTGGGGCTAAATGCCCATCGATGTATGGTGTTGCTACACGGTCCCGGCTCAGTAGGCTGGCTACATACGTCCACTAAAAGCATTGCATAAATCAAATTTATAGTAACTTATAGCGATTTTATAGCAATGGTATTGAAAAAAGATCCAGCAATGTATTTTTTTTCATTCTTTATCATCGGTCTGGGGGATTTGGGGGATTACATGGTTTTCACTGGGGGACGGAGTGGAGGTCAGTCTTCGCCAACCGCGTATAAAGAGTGGACTTTAGAAAATTGCGAATGAAGGGGGGGGGATCATAAGCAAATTACAGAACCTTAGCGGGGACTAGGTTAATTTTATCGTTAATTTTACTATCAAAATCCTTCAACCCCCTCCCTCCCTCCCCCCCCCAAACATAAATAATAACCGGTCCATTAACCCAAATATCGAAAATCTTTAATTGCTCCACCTACCAGAACAAGTGCGATTGCAATCTTCCATGGTAGGGAAACCATTCCATCCGCTTGGGTGACAACCACCAGCAACGATTGGCTGACACGTATTAGTTGTCACGTTGAAATAAAAATTTCTGAAGTAAGCTCTGCATTTGCTTGCAGGGTTTATCTGACAAATTCCACCTGTTAATTGAATATAAGTTATTTTAGAAGTGGAATGAACACGACAGATTAGTGATCTGTCGATATCTTTTTTCATTATTACACTGACTTTATACTCAGGCCAATACATTCCAGTTCATTAATCCTTTAACTCCCGTAAGTGACCAAGACAGAATTTCTCCTTACTATATCTATACAATATCATAAAGACAAGTGATGAGAATAAAGAAAATATCAATCATGGGATTACTAATTGATCCGATACCAAATTCTCCAAACTAACATAAGAGAATCATTTGGCATACAGTAAGGAGACTTATTAATGAGATCTTGGGAGTTAAAGGGTTAACATGATGATTCCCATGTTATCTATTATCACTTGTTTTTGCCGCAACCATTCTCAAAAGTCATGTAACGTACTACTGCCTTTCTGCATATGTTACATGTTTTTTTTTCTAAAAAAAAACACACAAACAAACAAACAAACAAAATCGCACCAGTAATCGGGTTTTTATTTGGCTGGTATTAGCTTTAGCAACTGATAGGCGATTAAGCATTAGAAACCTTGAAAGAACAAGACGAAAGAAGACATACCAGGAGAACATGACTTATCTGCTACCTTCTCCACCTTCTTCCCTTCTCGACAAGCAGTCGCCTTCATGATGCAGTAATTGTTGTAGGTTTTCGCATCCGAACCACAGATGGGTTGTAAATCGGCAGGACAGTCCACGTTGTCACGACAGACGCATCTGACCCCTTGGGCACTGTTATAGACACACTTCTCTTCAAGTTTACAAACCACGCCCTCGCAACGATCTGTAAAATTTATAATTTCCATATCTAAGTAATCGTTCGCACAACGATCCTTCTCATTGACCAAACAGCCTCAAATTTTCTTACAAATGTAAGAGATGCGTAATAGTCGATCATATTTAGAGTCAAAAGCAAATAAATTCTATAGCAATAATTAAAACAGGCAGTGGAACATTTCGAGAGAGGTGAGAGAGTGTGCGTAGATAGAGGCCTCTGATTTAAATAATGCACGAAGTCGTAAGTAATAGAAGTCACCCGTTGACCTTGCAGCGATCACTGAGAATTGCGATGGCACTCCTCCACCCCTCCCCCCCCCCCCTCACAAAGATAGGCCTAGAAGTTCTAATAGCTAACAGTAAGAGATCCATCGGAAATCAACCTATTTAAAATCTGGTTAGAAATTGAAAGTAAAAGCCTTTACTGATTTTCACCACAGGCTAGAAGCAAAGAAGGCGCACTGCTTTGTCGTACCTTTACACAAAGGTGGATGGTCAGACCATTGACCATCCGGGCGACATGTCAGCTTCGATTCTCCGTCAAGCTCATATCCCTCATCACAGGAAAAGGTCACAGTGCTTCCAATAGAAAAGTCATCACCAATTCGTTTGCCATTTTTTGGAGGAAAGACATCGAGGTCCCAGCACGAAGTAACTATTAGCAAATTCATTTTTATTTTATGCATCTTGGAAAACAGTATCTTGACGTGCACGTTTAAATTCAGACTAGCTGAAGTAAAATACATCATTACAGGGTGGGCCTGTGTCTTAACGAGCAAACTGACTCTATTTGTGCCAGGGTCTTTGTTTGATACCTTATGTTTACTGGGTCTAATCTTTATTAGCTCACTAAAAAAATATAGACAGTAACTGATGATATTAATAAATACAAAAGTCTTAGATACTCTTAGACTGCTCATAGCAAAGGCTGATTGAGGCGTTGGAGATCATTTATTAATTAAGATAAAATGTTAAAGACTCTATTAACTACCACCTCTATCAAGTCTTCTTGCTTCTGTCTTTGAATAATCACCATTCTGGTGTTGATGGCGTCATGATGCCACTGAGACGTCGAGCTTTTTCTAAAAGTTTGTCTGCAATATTTGCATTTCTTTAATTTGCCAACGCGAATCTCTCTTTATCATTTACACTGCCGTCATGGCGATTTTCGTTTCTGTCCTTCAACACTATGCCTATTTCAAAGTATCTCTTACACTTACTTTCGCAAGTCGGTTGTTCTCCAGACCATCTTCCACTTGGTTGACAAGTTCTCTTACTTGATCCGATCAGACGGGTATTTATTTCACAACCAAATTCCACTTCGGTCCTTACAATAAACTCCTCCAAGTTGTCCGTTCTAAAGCCTTTGTTTGGCTTTCCAGGGTCTGAACATGTTGCTGTAATGGTATAAATCAAAGGGTGATTTCAGAAAACTGGCCTAGATTAGGTGCAAATTTTCATCTTTTGTCAAGAGTAATAAATATAAGATTTATACGTAGTCTTTGATAATCGTGCTGCCAAGAGTTAAGTTCCACTCCTTGGAGCGTTAAGTTCGCGCTGTTTGGGATATAACTTAGTGGCTAAGTTATATTCCAAGGAGCGCGAGCACATTTCTCGAAAAGCAGCTGTTAGTTGAGCTTAGTCCAAAGTTTTTAAGAGCTTCATTTTTGGCTCAGGCCAATAAATTAAGACGCTGGTTAATGGGACATGTACAGTTAAAAGCCATAGGAAAGTTTCTTCGTAAGATGCGGTCTAGTTCTTGGATAAAACAGAAAGAGCATGTCCTCATTTGGATGTCACTTTGTAAGACTTTTAAAGGAAAAAGTTTCTCGACCGTCAGGTTTTTACAAGAAAGTATTGGCTAGTTATATAAGAAAGAAGAGGACATTGAGCTGGGCAGATTGACCGCATGATCCAGGCAGATTTTGTTGAAGGTGGCTAATAAAAATTTCCTCAACCCTTCAATAGGCTTCTTAGCTTAAATAAAGGTACCATGACTGACTTACCACAGAATGTCGGGGGAAACAAGTTACGGATATGCTCTAATGTCACAGTCTGCTTAGTCCGCTGTTTGTCCTCAAATGTTACCGAATACTTGTCACCATTGATCGCGTCAACCTTGGCAAAGATGTACGTTCCTCTTTGCATTGCAATCACACGCGTTCCCAAGAAGATGTTCTTCGGAGATGGGAGTTTGTCCTCTACTATAATGTAATGTTGTGTTCCAGGTCCAAATATCGCAACGTCTCTTTGTTCTTTGGATGAGTCAATCAGAACTGTCACGATATTTTTGCTTTTTTGCTGAATTATTCCATGGATGAAACGTTGGCCATTCCTGACAAAGACTGGGGTGTTAACACCTGCACATTCTATAAAATAAACAAATAGATAAATAGGTAGATGTAAATCTGAGAAAATAACACACTCGAGTATAAAATTCGCCTGTCCCTCTGGACAACGTGCTTATGGGGTTAATGAACTTTAAGAAGGTGAAGCTGAGGTAAAACTAGAAGCGCAGGGTTTCAAAACAAGCCGGCGACCTAATGGCCCTTAATAAACTTCTCACAAAATATTTTGAAACCCCTGGAAGCGGTTTTAAAAAATAAAGAAAGAAAAAATGAAAAGAGGATTGATTGACAATGGACTTAGGAGTGTAAAAATGATAAAATGAAAGTGTAAGTTAATAGTAAGGAAGAGAAACCGAAATAAGCACTAAAACGGTGCAATGATTGTAGGGAAAGAAACTGATCATCATAAAACATGATAAAGCGAAATAAAAGATGTACTACCATGATATCATTAATCAAAGGTACAGAGATGTTTACTTATTTACCAACACAAAACGGTTGCACCCCAGTCCACTCCCCTTCACCAACACAAGAGCGCCTGTCAGATCCATACAAAATGTATCCATCGTTACATTTATAGAAGATCATTGACAGATAAGAGAATGGAGGGCCGGTTGAATTTGTTGAACCGTGTTGAGGTGTACCGGGATCAGCACACGTTACCACTAAACAGGAAATAATAATAACAGTAATAAAAATAATTATAGTAATAATATTAGTAATAAAAACAATGGCCTCAATTGATAGCTACCTAATGGGTCTTCTCCTCTCAAGAAAAAAAAAATGAAAAAAAGAAAAAATTGTAAATAAACCTAGTGTTAAAAAAATACCAACTAGCAGGAGGTGGACCAGTTGGTTCTCTAGAAGGTGCAGCCAGGTAGTTGCACTTAAGGCAAACGAGAACAATCCAGTGAGTAGCAAGGTGTGATGCTTGAACTCGCGACAACCAGTCCAGCAACCCGTGATCAATCGGTTACACTGCCACTCCCTAAAAAACTTCGACCTGCCGAACTACTTCAGTTTGTAAACTATTGCAGAATGTGAAATTACATGGTTTGACATTTTCGACAGCTTTAGTCTTATACAGCCAATCAGATTATTTGAACTATTCTAACTGGGATTCTGATTGGCTTATTGTAGCGTGCTTTATGAGAATATAGGGCGTGCTGCCGACACTGTTGTTCTCTTTTGGACTTTGTTTTCAAGTCGACTACGTCTCGTGTTTCTCCCTATTCTTCTTTCGTGCTCTAGCACGCTTCCTGTGTGCTTTGCAACAGAGCAGAGTCAACGCATCTCTAATTGTTAAGTAATTGGTATATTTGAAAGCTGGTCATTCTCTTTACTCCGTGCTTCATTCATGTATAGAGAAAAAAAGGTACAAAACGAAAGTCAACTAAGAAACTCACCTTTACAAACAGGTGTCTCACCGACCCACTTTCCATCTTCCCCACATGTCAAAGTATCTGGTCCTTTCAATTTATACCCTTCATTACAAGTGTAATACACGTGTGCTCCAAAAACAAACCCACCGCCGAACATCACTGCGTCAGGCACTTTTGGAGGCTCCTCGCAGGGTACAGCTAAAATATATCAATCAAATAAATTTTTCGTCATAGCGATGGCTCATTCTATCGCGATACTGATTCATCTTTTTGACTTTTACTATATTTCATTGACGAGGAAAAACAAGCATTCATTATATCGGGGTAGATGTCTACGCTTTAAGGCATTCTTAATGAAGGGATTCCAAAGTAACCCGGACCTAACGCACAGGTACGTATAAAAAGGTACTAGATAACGGGAAACTAAGTCAGCGGAATGAGGGTTTGTTTATTTAAGTTGGATTCTGTTACATCAAGAGGAAAGATGGTACGTTATTCTCTCTTAGTTGCATCCATATTACTATCGTGGGTGAAATCGTGAATTCTGTTCGTTACACAGGAGACTTCATTGACACGGGGTCATGATGATTCGTTTTAATCGTATACTACATTTTTAAAATACAAGAGAACATCTTGCTGCATAATGTAATCTTACGTTTGCAAATTGGCTGCGTGCCACTCCAGGTTTGGTTCGCAAGACATGTTCTTGCGTTGGGGCCTTCCAGTTTAAAACCGCGATGGCAGTCGAAAGTGACACTGTTATTGTACTGAAATAACCAGCCCTTGCGTTTTCCATTCAAGGGAGATCCAGGGTCTCCACAACTTACAGCTGAAAAGAGATAGGATCCGATAACTACATCAAGTTAAAATAAATAAAATTAGAAAATGAAAATCATCGTCAACGTTACTGAAAAAATAGAACATGAGTCACGACTGTATATCATTTAATTAAGGGAAATAACGTAACAACATCAGCAAATTAAAATATGGAACAATAATTTTAAAACAGAAATCTTGAGAACAAAACAATCAGTTCCAAGAAATAGACGTGTTTCATAAATTGTTACAGTCGAACCTGTCTTAAGCAGTCAGTTGTCAAAGTCCCGAATTTCTTCCCCTTAATCACTATAATGTTCACCTCTATTAAGTGGTCGGTCCTTTATTTTATCCCAGCGGCCTGTTTTTATGGTCCTCTACTTGTATTGAACGGTCTCTAGAAACGGGACCACCCAAATGAAAACTAAGAATAATCTTTAAAGTACTTTTTGATACATTTTTCCTCCCAAGTGGCGTTGTTTATCGTTTTTCTAGTAGCTTAAACTGTGGAAACTGTATTAGGCAGTCACCCCGCCATTCCCGCATTCCCGGTGGGTGAGTGCTTGTTACAGGTTCGACTATATATGGAGAATCATAACCATGATGAAATTATTTGATATCTAATCTATACTGACCAACACAAGACACATTGTGTTTAGTCCATTGTCCATTTGACTGACATCTGATTCTATGAGGATTTCCAAGTCGATAGAAGCCCTCTTTACACAAGAATTTGACGACGGAACCAACCGTATTATTGCCAATTGCTTCAGCATTTTCCGGAGCTTCTGGAGGTGGGCATGTCTTACCTATTATCAAAACAAAAAATAAAGATCATCATTTGGTGCCGAGTAATAAAAGCCGTAAATTTCTTAAACGACCCAAAAATATCGAGTCAGAAGGAAATTTGCGCCGTTGAATACCAATTTTATATAGGATACCTGTTGTGGTCAATTAAACAAATTGCATTAAGGGTACATACTCAATTTTATCCTCACAAACGTGTCTTCGTAACTAATTACTCATCGGTCACGTGTAATCGCGTTAACCACGCGCGAACGCGGGAGCGAGCGCGGAAGCAGCTATTGCGTTACCGATCCGTTTCACTTCCTGCGCTATCCTTGTTACCCGGAGCACCCCACTGAGATTGGAAAAAATCTAACATACCACTGCTTAGGCTATTTTGATATCGTGGAGCTCTCCTCTGGAGAAAGAATATGTCATCTCACCCCACGAGTGAAGAGTTGCCTTAGTTGCGGCACCCAACACCACATGGTATCTATATTGCTTCATCGCAAGGATTTTCGTGGAAAAAAAGGAAGGTAAACTTATCCCGAAAGAAAATATTTGACAGGTCCGGTTACGTTCTACACTTAGTTCACTGATGCATAGAATTAAATAAATACATAACGTAATCAAAATTTCAAAACGAAAATCTCAATGCCGGTCATCTTTCGTCTTACTCTTTTTTCTATTTTTTTTTATCTACGATGACGAGTGTTGCTAAACTCATTCAACTTGAAGCAGAGATAGTCAGTTTTGCCGCCACAACACATAATGACTTACCTAATATATTGTCTTCGCCTCTTGCCAGTTGGAGCAGGAAGAGACCGAAAATAAAGCTCTGAACGCAACGCATGGTTATCACCGTACGCTGTGGTTATGAGAACGAAATGTAATTTGAAAGTATTGCTTCTGCGTTTCAGACACAAAGGAATTAAATAGGGAACACGCACGAACGTGCCAAAAGATTTTTCCTTTCAGCGCACCTATTTGGTCAAGCTGTCAACGGTAACGTTATCTTTGATTCCTTAAATTTGAGCGCTGTTATTTCTCAGGGCAGGAAATGAGAAGCTATCTGTCAGCAAACTATTATTTTAGTGTGGAATTTTCTCTACGTGAGCCAAATCACTGAGGCTGAAACTGTGCTGTCATTTTCATCCCATTAAAAGGCCTGTGTATTTGGAAGTCATCCAACCCCTGCTGTTTATCTTTTTATCAGAATTGGGCAATATGGTGTTTCAATCAGACCTATTGAGCCGCAGCACCGTCATACTTAATTTAACACTCAACTGTGTATATTTTCAACCTCTCCTTATTTCCTTTATCATAGATAGTTTACCGTCTCATGTTAAGCAGCAGAAAACCATACCAGATTTAACAATTTTCATTGAAAGCGACAAGGAAATGACGGCTCAACAAAGCGAAGAAAATATGTTTTTTTCCACGGGAAGAAAATAACTTCCCTGACCTTTTCCTGCGACTTCCCAAAATCCGACCTCAACATCCGCTGAAACTGAAGCAGCTCAAATTGCTAGCACGTTCTGAGTGTGCGTGCGGGCTGTTTTCTTTGGCAACCGATAATTCGTGTTTAGGCAGCGCTCAGAAGGTAAAAATACACCGAAAGAATTAACTAAACAATCTTAACAAGTTAGTGTATAGCGGAATCAGAAATCGTTTCATCGTCCGTGAAACTTATCTAGAGTTAGATCTACAAACAGAACAAGATGCAGTTTTTTCGATATCAGGTAAGACATCAATTTACTGTACACTGTAACGCAACTGAAGCTGAAAGGACTAAATGGGAAAATTTACGCGCTAGATTGACCAATATGGTGATTGATCTTGACGGGGTATTTTGATCATTGTTTGATTAAATATTTTTTTTCTAAGAGGCCAGATACGTGAAAAGTATGTGAACATGTCTTGCAACTATATCTTAAAATTCAATGATGTGGAGCGACTGGTGTCACCGCACAGAACAACAAAGGACGTAACGTATTTATTTAAAAGATTCAAATCCGTCTAGTCCTTTTCAAGATGGGAACATTATAGGTCAACAAATAGCATGCAGTATAAATCAATAAAAATCGATGATAAATGATACTCTATGCCAATTGATCGATCGAAACTGGACAAAAATCAAAGTTTTATTCTGTAGTTATAAGATCGGAAATGTTGCTTTCAGTTACAACAAAGAGTTTCTAACATTGGGTAACCTTTAACCTCCTCTATGCTAAAAGGGAAGATTCTTCTTTCAGCAGGGGGAGGAAAGCACGACAAAAATCACTCCTTGAAATACTCCTATTTCTGCATGTTTACAGGCGTAGGCTTAAATTTATTAGATTTCTGTATCCAATAAGGGCACTCAAAGGATGTACGATAGCATCAGTCGAACTTCTTTAACATTGGCCATGGAGACTGCTTACAACCAAGATATCTATTCAATTAAGATTAGATCTCCCTTAGTGTTGCTATACACTTCCTTTAAGTTAGGCAGGAGAATTTTGACTTTCATCAGAGAAACCCACTATGGCAGTAGAGCTAATCCTTTTCCAATTCTCATCACTTGTACGCTGAATTATGAACTGATCTTGTAAGGAGAAGTTATCATTCAATAAACGGTCGAAACAAAAATTAGCGGAAAGGATGACTTTCATTATTCTCCATACAATTCAAAATGTAGCTAAGTTTGATTAAACGAGTTCCTTTAGAAGACCATTCAATCAGTCAAGAATATGTTCGACAAATATTTCCGACTCGACCAACTACAGCTAAGTTTGATATTATCTACTGAGTTGATAATGTACATGTACATTGGCTGCCGTGAAGATTCTCTTAAGCTGACGTTTCGAGGGCTAGCACGTCTTCAGAGACTGCCACAGAGTTGACCTAAAACTTGCGTTGATCTTTACTGGATATCTACTAATCTGCTTAGAGAAGAGAAAATTAACTAAATCGAAAGCGCACTTGAGTTTCAAGCTTATGATTAGCTTAGGAATATTCACTGGAAAAGAAATTGAACCTCTCTCTTATTTCCTAGATTCTCTGGTACGTGTTTTTGACTGCACTGATGTTGGCCACTCAAAATGTAATGAGCCGAAAAACTAGTAAGTTTACGGAAATTCACATGTTTACTCCTTGAAATCAGAGTTAACTGATTATCAGCTGATGAAGTCGTTTCCTGTTGTGCCATTCTCTTTTGGGGATCTCCGTACAAATTTTTACCAGGTGGAACTTAAAATAAAGGGAAGTCCCACCATCAGACAAACGGCGAACAGAGGGAACAGTAGAAGCTTACGAACAAAACTGAAATCAGTCCTTTCAAAACGAAATGCTATGCAGGTGCAAGGCGCTTGTTTTTGCATTAGCTGACATCAAACGGGAGGCTCTAATTTGGCCTGTCCTAAGAATTCACCCTTACAAACAGAAGCGAGGTCTAATTTCGGTTCATTAACAGTTGAAGAAGATGAATTGAATGAACTTGCAATCTCAACGAAAAGATTGACTATTTTAGATTATTAATTTACAAAAAATCAGTATAAAAAAATTCACCGGAGCGTTAAATTCCAGTTCAGTATATCTAACTGCATACATAACAGATTACCTTACTTGGCGCACGTTACATGTTTCTTCTTATGTTAGAATGTGACGAGAAATGCCTTGATATTCTCCGTAAAACTCGAAGAAATCCGCCCCCCAGTACTAAAGTGGAAATACACACTGGTTATTGTAAGGCAAAATATGTTTGCCGAAAAGGAACTGATATAAGAGCTTGCAGGAATGGGCAGTGGATTGGAAGCAAAGCACTCAAGTGTCCAGGTGAAGTTCGGCGGGTTGACTCACTTCGGTTGGGATAAATTACAATCATTCGATCGGACAGAATGAGTTATTACAAATCAAAATCCCTGAGCCACGTCACCATTCGATGTTCATAGGTTGAATCATAAATTGGACTTTGTTATATCGATACGAAAATATCCATTCCTAAGCAAGATCAAACGCATTTCACTATAATCCATGATTATTACTAGTTTGTGATTGAAAACTTAAGAAACTGCATGTTCACATATTTTATCTTATAAATAATTTCTAACATTCTTTTATCAGCATATTGCGGCAAACCCGCGGACATTCCACACGCCACATTCTCTGGTTCCCGTTTCGGCGTCAACAATAAATTAAAGTACCGATGTGATCAAGGCTACGTACTCGATGGACCAAAAAGAAGGAAATGCGAAAAAAGCGGACAGTGGTCTCAGGCTCCTACATGTTCACCACGTAAGCTGAATTTGATAATCTTTACACACGTGTAAAGACGACAGCAATTTTCAGTTGAGTGTCGAAAGCAATCAGGGATTACTTTGGTTTTGCTTTATTTCTTCAGGTGATTGGTCCAAAAGACTCTCATCACTTCCTCGACCAATCAGATTCAAAACTAAAACCATTCGCGACTTGGACACCCGCGTTTTCTCGCGCTTCAGGCAGTTTGCTTGTTTTCACTTCGAGTTCTCCTGGTGATATCGTGCTTACTATGATTGGCTGTTGTGATTGCATTGGTTTTGGTTTTCCGACACTAATTCGAACACTGCACTTACACCAATTAATCCATGTTGACCACAATGCTTTCATTTTACGTCACTGTTCACTTAGAGTTGTCTGAGTGAAAATGCAACAACACCGACAATTAGCTTTATTTGCAAAATCAAAGGAAAGGAATGTACAACTATATACTTCCCTGCAATTGTTTAATTCCCTTGTTTGGGCTATAAGAAAATATTTCTAGTAAAATTAGGAACAAACAAGTAAATCGCCCCGATTAGTCCCAACAAAGCTCTATAAAAATGTCAGACTGAAAATATGCATTGGAAGACAGTGGAGTCAACAAACATGATAGAAATAATTATGATTGGAGTAACCGATCTGAAGATGCCAAAATTGAATGGGCAAGAAGAGTACCTTACGATTCGACAAAAAAATTTTAATTCAACGACAATGCATTCACCCTCAGGACGTGCTTTTCTTGTCTCTGGACGGTCGTGAGCATCGGCAACAGCCATAATGAATTGGCAGAGAGAGGTCTAGGGCTCAGAATGTTTCATAGTATTCCAAAGTTTATCTTTGTTCCAGCTTCTTCGCGTTTTATGGTGTTAAAAAATATACTTGTGTTCTCTTTGGTAGGATCATGTGGAAAACCTGAGGACATTCCTAATGCTATCGTAAGCGGCTCAAGTTATAACTACATGGATACTTTGAATTACACTTGTTCAAAAGGTTATCAACTTGATGGGCCGGAAACGAGAACGTGTCTTCATGATGGGAAATGGTCCAGTAGTCCGACTTGTACACGTAAGTTAACTAAGGAATTACATAAGCATAACAACTGTTGCAACCGCAAAATTACCAAGGAAGGTGCTATCGCACTGTTTTCAATTTGTACGGAATGGGAGGATATTTCGCAAGCATTTTTTTGTTACCAAGGCAAAAGAGTACAACAGCCCGACCTCCGCCATTTAAAGGCCAAGGATGCTTTTACTGAATATTCAAAGGAAATTAAGAAGTTTTTAATCGTACCATAGGAACATTTTTGGAGTGATTTTATATAGTATTTTGCTTTTTAATACCATATAATAATACCTTTTGTAATGTAAACATAATGATTATGATTAACTTACAGGACCCCCATTGATACCAGTGTCATTACACCGACAGGGTTATCTTGTATAAATATATATATATATATATATATTTTGTTTTTTTTTGTTTTTATATATATATATATATATATATATATATAATTTTTTTTGTTTTGTTTTTTTTGTCTATATAACTCTATACTTCATTATGCATACAGTTCTTTATAAAGGAAAACAATAGCAAAACAACTGATTTGATTTGGGAACACAGCTCTGTTTAAGAATAGTATTGGGTTACATGATTGTGTATGGAGAGCTTTCCAAATCGCTCTCATAACTTCGTAATAGACCTCGCTCACCGTGGAGTCTCTGTGGCTCAGTGGTTAGAGCATCGGAGCGCGGAATCCGAAGGTCTGAGGTTCGATTCCTCATGGGGACTCCGAGATTTTTCTTTGTTCCACGCTCGTGACAAGACAGAAAACATTCTTCCGCTTTCTAACTGTATTTCATTCGTGTTTACAGAAATCCGTTGTAGGAAGCCACGGCGTCTTGTTATGCGAAATGGAAATGTCACTACCTCTGACCCTGAATACCTGTATGGAGCAACCCTTGCGTTTGAGTGTAATGAAGGGTATGAGTTACGAGGCAGTGACTCTATGACTTGCCTAAGATTTGGTTGGAGTCCCAGGAGACCACCATACTGCGCTAGTAAGCACGTTTTGATGATTGAAATAATGTTGAAACTTACCTATGTGGTAGAAAGAGACAGGAATAGCCTATTAGTCTAAGGGCTCGCCCTCACTGCTTTGGTCTGGGTTGATTTTCACATCTGGAGTAACATTTGGGTAACATTCTGTTTGGCACTGTTTCTTTTCCTCGAAAGTGACATCTTCTCCAGGTTTATTCACCATTGATATCAAACACAGTATGCAATATTTGAGGAACACAGTCTGTTGCCTAGCAGAGTAAGACCCTAGTGCTAGAGATCAATTAACTTAACTGCAAAGGGTAGTGTGGGTGCGACAGCCTATACACTGAAACAGTTAAGACTTACTGATCAGGGGTGTGTTTTCTATGGTAATTACCAATTGTTTTCAAGGTTGATCATTGTATTATTATCCTTCATTCCCAAATACTGAGCTCTTTCAATTCCAATCGGATAAAACAATAGGCTTTGGAAAACGAGAATCCACATGAATGTGCAACTGATAACATTTCATGGTGTTATCAATTTTTGAAATGATAATTATTGATATTATTTTCGTAACCATAACCAATGCTTCTTTGTAGTAAAATCTTGTCCAGATCCTGGGAGACCAGAGAATGGTGATCGTTATTATCAAGATCGATATTTTAGAGTTGGTAGTACAGTGCGGTTTTCCTGCCAGTCTGGTTTCCAATTGTCTGGCTCAAAGGAAAGGACTTGCATGGAGAATAAAGAGTGGAATGGAACTTTGACCACATGTCAGGATGGAAGTAAGTGAGAAATTTCTCAAGCTTCTCTCAAATGTAATAGAGAGGGGCAATGGTTATTTGCTCTTTATTTATTTATTTTTTACTTCCTGTATTCTCTTGGCTCTGAGTGAAGACTATAGCGTGCGTGTTGTTTTTCATTCACCTGGCATAAAGAGCCCAGCACAGGTCAAGTTGGGACAGGATAAGATGAAAACTTTCTTAAATGAGATGGTCAGTTCAGTAGTCAGCTAGTTCCTCAGTCAGTCCTTGAGACAGTCAGTCAGTCAGTATAATGATTAAGTCAGTCTTTCAGTCAGTCAGTATGTGAGTCAGTCAAGTTTTGAGTCAGTCAGTCTATGAGTCTGTCAGAGCATGAGCCAGTCACTGATTCAGTCAGTGAGTGCATCCATTGGTCAGTCAACCTGTTAGACTAAAGGATCCTTTCTTCTTACATCTCTCTTAAGTAATGACTCTCCTATAAAGTTCAGTTAGTCAGTCGGTCTGTGAGTTAAGTCTGTCAGTCGGTGAGTTGGTCTGTCAGTTATGCATATATGAGTCAGTCTGTCTGTCAGTCAGCTTGAGAATCAGTCAGTCAGTCAACTAAGGGGTCTTTCTCTCATATTTCTTTTTGATAATGATTTTTCCGTTCGTTCAGTCAGTCAGTCAGTCGGTCATGCGGTCCATCAGTCAGTGTAGGTCCTGAGGTGGTATAACAACAAGTGAATTGTCAACTGAAAACGTTTCTTTTTCAATTCTCTTTCAGATACCAACTGTCCCATTTTGGGTACCCCAATAAGTGGACGTAAATACGGCAGCGGATACAACAAAGGAGACATTGTGTCATTCGAATGTAAACGGGGGTTTGTTCTTAAGGGTTCTGCAGTGAGAAAATGCTTAGATAGCGGAGCTTGGAATGGCACCGACGCAATTTGTCGAGGTAAGGCTGCACAGTAGTTGCACAGTAGTTGCATTGCTGTATCCGAAGCCTCAGTATATGACAAACAAAAACATTTCAAAGCATCACGTGCTATGGACTCTGATAAAGAGCAGTTTCCTCAGTTTTCCCTCTATCCATTTGTTTTTACAGACGAGTTCGAAGATCGTTTTAAAGGTGTTAACGTCACTGCCTACAATCTTCGCAAAAACCTGCTTGATCCTTTATCAGAGTACACATGTAACAGTGATAACAGCACTGGATGCAACAGGACAAGTATTCGTGGCATGGATTTCAGAGGCAGAGCCATTAATTTGAACTCAAGGGGTGGCTTAGATCTCGTGTTCGTCATCGATGCGTCTAGCAGTGTAAGAAAGCTGACTGATTTCAAAAATGGTTTGGAGTTTGCAAAAGAGCTGGTTAGAACCATCGGGACCAGCAAAAGGTACGATTAATTTTTAAGAGACAGAGTTCTTTTACATTTGCTCAACATGTTAATAATTTAAAGGATTAGTATATCGCTAATTGATAGTCCATACTGCAAGTAAATGGCTCGTGACTTAAGAACTAATGAGAGCAAACTCGAGGAAACTGTTCGTTGTCAAGTTTTGTCATGGTTACTAAGATAGCTTATAATGGGTTCTAACTAACCCAATAGTAATAATCACGACCATTGTCATCAGCAGCGTTAAGATCAAGACATTTATCTTAACTTCAGATTTTTAACTTCTTAGAAAAGATGGAACGCGAGTAGCAGCTGTGACCTTTGGGACGGATGTGAAAGTTGAATTTAACTTAGGAGATGCTAACGTCGACACAATGGATAAAGCAATCAAAGCCATCGATGAGATAATCTACATCGGGGGGGCTACAGCGTCGGCACTTGCGTTACAAGAGGTCAGAGATGTCGTGGTGCCGCTAGCTCGTCCAGACAGTCACCGCGTGTTGATGTTCATCACAGACGGAATGTCTAACATAGGGGGTCCACCTAAAAAGTTAGCGAAGTATCTTCGTGAACAAGAAAACTTTGAGATCTATGCAATAGGTAAAGTAGCTTGGCAGTGATTTAAAACAGGGTTACTTGAAGATTTTGAGAACGTTAAGTGTATAAAACTTCTTAACGGACACTCTTGGGAAGATGTTTTACTCGATTCTTATTTTGACATTAACATAAGCGCTCATTCCCTGCAATGGGACGCAAACACTTTGGAAGAGTGCAGTTTCCACTTCTGTATATCATGTCTGTGGTCTTGTTTTAATTTGCATATAACTCTTATCAATGAGTTTTCCATTTTAACTTCAGATTTGTAGTGGACGTTGTTCGCTAGTTTGACGTTTCCAGCTATTATCACCTCTTGTCCCGTGCAATTACACAGTACTACAGTCGCTACTTCCTGTTGCGATGACCATTTTTGTAAGGGGTCCTCATTTCTGAAGTTGAGCTACAGTCTAAAAGGGGGGAATCATCGCTGAGCAAGGCATGGAGTGCTATCCCCAAATGACGCTGAGCATTTTAAAATATGGTTTTTTTCTTTCATAACGATTAGTTTTTCAAGAATTGTTTTAAACTTCATCACTAATTTACATTTTCGCACTATCACTTATCATCTTGCTCCTTTAGGAGTCGGTAAGAAAGTTCGTATTCGTGAACTGATGGATATAGCCTCACCTGAAGCGGGCGATAATCATGTGATCCATGTCAAAGACTACGACAATCTTCAGAAAGCCATCAAGAGAGCGACTTACGTCAAGATCGGTATGTCGTAAATTGATAATATAAGCTTAAATTTCATTGCTTATGATTTCTCTTATATTTTGAAGTCGATTATGAATCGAGACTCTTTATTCGAAGGGGAGACGTCCTAGAATAGTTGAGTGTTTATTAGCAGCTGGATCGACCGGCCTATTCCACAAAGTATCACCATAAAATACAGAAAAGACACTAAAAGAAAAGAGCCAATAAAAGTGCATTGCAATAAACCGGTCTTCTTTGAAGTGAACATGACTTTTTGTATGTTTCTTGTTCACAGATTATACAACCTGTGGTGTAAGTCCTGTTGATCTGAGGGCGAGAATGGTCGGTGGCAAGAATTCGAGAAGAGGCTGGTGGCCCTGGCAGATTGGACTACGTAAGATTAACTCAAAAGGTAATTTGAAAGGAAAATTTGCGTTGTCTGGCTCATTCATTGAATGCTGTATGTACAAGGAAAGCATTAGTAACATTTCCTTTCCATCATGCGGCAAATCGTTCTAAGTAGCCTATGACTGTCTGTGGCCTTTCCGTACATCTAGGTAGTTCGGAAAGCCGCAGAACTCAAGAACAAAAATTCATCTTTCAAATCTCACTCTTAATCTTATATTATATCAACTAACGATTCTCATTCTATTGATTCATTTGTTTGTTCATTTGTCTGCCTGTTTTTGTACGTTATTATGTTCTCAGAATTACAGAGTGGCTCCATTTTTCTGTATGCGATCCCTACACAACCCTCCATTCCTTTGTTCGTTCAGACGAGGGGCCAAGCTCGAAAAGTTACTTAAAACGCACTTGTCAAAAGCTGGTTTTTTTTCGGGCATAATTTTCTACGAGAAGTTATTTTTTAAAAAGAAAGTATCGGTTGAGATTAATAATTATTGTTTTTTATCTGTTTCCTTTTTCCTTTTTAAGCGGAACTTGTGCTTATCTGTGGTGGCGCACTGATTTCTCGTCGCTGGGTTCTGACGGCTGCACATTGTTTTTACCACCGAGATTTTCGAGGGGCTCGTGTTCTCGACAATTTGTCCAATAAGTAAGCACTGAGTCCAATAATTCTCTTTACGTTTGAAGTTTAAAGAATCTTTTTATATCTATAGATATCTTTTTTCAGTGTTGTATTTGAAAGTTCACATTTCAAGGTGGAGAAAATTCTGCACATAAAAAGGTTTCGAATTTCTGATATCATTCACACGGAGGACTCTTCAAAAACTCCCAAAACCAGTCTTTCCCTAGTGGGTGAAGCAAACTTGGCTTATTTTCTCTACAACTGCTGCTCTTTATCTCGCAGGTACCAAGTGACAGTGGGTGACCACCACTTGCGGAGGGATGAAAAATCTCAAAGTGAAGTGGCAGTGAAGAAGATTTTTGTTCATCAAGATTATGTTGATAACAAAATCACAAATGACATTGCTCTGGTCAAACTCGACGAGGAAGTGAAACTTGGCCCCTTTGTACGGACATTGTGTATTCCAGAAAAGGATGAAGGTGATTTGGCAATCCCTAAAAAGTACGGTATAGCAACAGGATGGGGTGTAACGCAAGCCCTGAAACCCTTACAAGTCCCCAAAGAACACAAACGCTACTCAGACCGTCTTCAATACTCAGCCTTCACAATTCAAAGCGACCAACTGTGCGCTAACAAATCAGCGGGATTTTTTGTTAACTCCACAGTGACGTTTTGTGCCGGGGATGGAAAGGGAGGAAATGATACTTGCCAAGGTGACAGTGGAGGAGCTTTCGTCCGCGAGGCAAAAAGAGGAGACGACTTCCGTTGGGTGGCTACTGGGCTGATCAGCTGGGGAGAGGGCTGCGCACAAAAGGATAAGTATGGATACTATACCAGGGTGTACTCATTTATTGATTGGATAAAGAAAACTATGGAAGACAACTCATAGGAAAATGACTGAACTTCTTCAATACATGTTCGAGTATCTTTTTACTGATTAGTAGTATAAAGAGTGTCTGTTCTCCTGCGAAAATCGTTGCTTTACCATTCTCAGAGTTACTTTGATGTCTGATTGAGGTTTTTGCTTAGAAAGGCCGTGCTTTTGTAGATTAATGTGCAGATTGATAGTTTGGTTTTTTTCCTTTTTTTTTTTTTTTCGTTTTGTAGTCAAATAAAATCGCCGATGAACGCAAGACGGTTTCTTTCATCCTGTCTTAAAGTAGATGTAATCATGACAGAAGCAAATAGACAACATCTTTAAAGGAGGTAATTTAAGTCCTTTTCCTTTGGGGTCATTACTGCCTGAGCTGCCTCTGCTTTACCTCTGATTTACCTCTGATTTAAAGTGGCCATTCACCGAATGGAACATTTGTATATCGCAATGGGTCAACTCCTTTGCCACAAGTCTTCGACAGGCGATAACTGAAGATAATTTCGTATCAAAATTTGTCACCTTCGGTTTCGTCAGCAAGGGATTTTGTTTCAACTATCTAATTGATGATCTTCAAGATCATCGATTAGATAGGATGTTTCCGCGTCGTTACTTATGAAGCATGAGAGAGTAACATGCTGCTGGTACGTTTTCGCGTATTCTCGGTAGTGCATTTCGAATACCATTATCATTCCAACAAGTTGACATTGTTCAGTCGTTCCCTTTGTTAATAACATGCTGTTTTGCAATATGACCATGGGTATCCATACCGCGGGAATTTCGATTTCTCTGTTTCTGTCTACATAGTTTTAATGAAGTTTTGTGTTAATAGCTCCCAACAACCTGAGCGTGTAACGATAAGGGCCTGTGTTTACGATTAGTAACTTAGCTTGGTTTCAAAAACAAAGAACATCTCCTTATTGAGAAGGTGATCTGAAACCACTAAATCGTTTCCCCTTTCATATTGTTTCACTCAGTTCTTATATCACTGTCCTTTTTTCTCCGAGTTATACTTTGCTGCGTTCGCATGGAACCCTATAGTAAGGGCGGCCCTCCTGTGAGCTGAGCGTTTATTATTTTTTCGCCAGTTGCTGTAATACCTATGACACCTATGATAACTATGTGGAAACATTTTTCTCTCAAAAGTATGATTTGCTTCAGTTTTCTTCCACCATTTGTTTGCAGCCATTCAGAGAGTCCTTCGTAAATCGGGAACTTTTCTCGTTCAGACCAAATTGTTTTCCTAAATCAGTGTTGTTGCGCTCGAAAGTGCAAATTAACGAACAAGTTTGGTTTGGGTGCACCACTCTTAACCCATTAAAGTGCCTGTGATACGAATTTTTTTTTTGCGTAAATATTTAGCTTATCATATGCACCAACCAATTCCGGTAGAAGAAAATTTTCAAAAAACTTAAAAATCGGTTTTTTCGGGCCCTAAAGTACTCTTATTTTGTTGTAAAAGTGTCTCCTGGACTGGTGACGAATTAGCGGGTGATGACGTATAAAACTGTGAAACTCTCCGTTCACACCTACAAATCTCTCGCATCTCTCGTAATTTTGTATCAGTCAGCGTTGAAATACTCTCAAATAATGTCCGATGGCGATGTATACCTACCTTCAGCAAGCTCTACCGAGAGTTGTGATACATCGTACTCGAGTAGTAGAGAAGAAATGGTAGTTGCTTGTACGGTTCAGCCCTACGAAAGAGGACCGCGTGCATCAAACGAGGATTTCGACTAAGACTGACAAAGACGGTTTCTCGCCTGCGGTGTTTAGGTCAAAATTAGAACAAAAAATTCCCGTTACTGAATGTTATTCTGATATGTTTTTGTTTTGCTTTCTAATGCGAAATCTATGGGTAGCTGTGTTCGTTTCTGTTGCTATAACATTTCATTCCTTCGCATTGTGTGCGGCGAAGGTTCCCTCAGTCAGTGCTCTAGAGTTTCGTTGCTGTAGAGCCGTCTTGGAAGCCGGTACGAAGCATGAGGCCAATGATCATTGAAGAGTAAAATCTCCTCGATGTCGACGATTGAAACGCGTCCATTTGGGCCATACAGCTACATCCTTTGGAACGTAGTGTATGGAAATACCCGGCATATGTATATTATTCTTGTAGCTAACATCATTTGGCGCTCCGGCCACGCAATACGTTATTCGTCATTTTTTCTAAATTTCCTTTCTCCACCATATATAGTTGCTGGCGTGTCTTCACAGTTTTCTATGTCACAGCTATGTAACATGATCGTTTTGGCCGCGCGCTTAATGGGGACACTTTTTGGCCCCCAAATCGTACTTTCAATGCACAAAAAAATGGTCAAGGAGAACTCGCTAGGCGCTAAGGTCGATTATTTCTAACTTTAAAACTGCCATCAATGCGATCCCTTATTAAAGAAGCTTGATTTTCAAATAAATTCTCCTTACCAAAACCTTAGAAATGTATAGAGAACAGTATAGAGAATATGCATACTGATGTTTGGGTGTAAAGGGTTAGTCCAACCTTAACACACCATTTGCGTCCACAAATAGATACAAAAAAAGAAATCTTGATGCTTCGGAAACACGTTTTAAATGATTTTTATTACGCACGTAAAATATCATAGATACATCGACTTGTTCTGATGGCTAAAAACATATTCGGTTTAAATTTGATTACAATTTGTTGTCCTGTGTTAATTGACTGGTAGTCCCAGCAGAATTGTGTCAGTCATGATGATTTTTGTTGTCGATCGTTGGATCGAACAACTCTGATAATATGAATACGCATAAAAATTGAAAAAGTTGAGGATGGAGGTTCGACATGTTCTTTTACTATGATTACAATAATTGCACTAGTTGTAAATTTAAAAAAATAAGCACTCCCGTTAACTTAGCATGTCCTAGGCTTATCTCCTTTCTTAGACTTTACGTTATACAATTTATTAGAAGTCGGTGGAAAGGGAGATTTTCTTCAGAACGGTCTAACATCCCCCCCTTAGGGACCGGTCACTCTTTATGGCCTAAAGGGGGAGGGGAGAAGCTGGAGAATTTCGGTTATGTCATAACGAAATTTACCTTCCTTCTTTCTATACACAATTAAGAAACGACAAATGTGTAAGTGTCGGCTGAACTGTAGCTGGTACAAAAATTTCAACAAGCGCCATACCGACACGCGTGTGTTCATGTTAACAGGAACCTTTTTACATCCTCTGTCACTGTCACTTACGGATAAGTTCCACCGAATGTAAATGCAATTATCCCCTTATAAGGCACGCTCAGTAATATTTTAAGATGGCTCCTCATAGGCCGTTAATTAGCAATCAATTTTTTAAAGTTCCTCCTTTATATTATGATGGTGACGACTGATCTCCCCTCCGTTCCCCCCTCTCCCCCCGAAAACCACGTGTTCCCTTCAAAATTCTTCACCCCCAGGCGATAACAAATAACTGTTCGTATTTTAGGTCATCATGTGATTTTCACACAGTTCTTTTCTAAAGACTCGCACGTTCTCTAACTTGCTCTGCCATTCTTCACCGTCAGTTTCAATAGTACATTGAATTGAACTACATAGTCGTTTTATTTTTCCCTCTCTTAAGTTCCCTCTCGGATCTTCTCCAACTATCGCAGTTCCTTCAGGTATTTCGTCCAAGTTTGGCTTCTCATCAAGAAGTACTTTATCTTTACTTTTATATAAATATTTGTCTCCATAAAGAACTTCCCACAGCGAATTGTGTGCGATAGAAACATAACTCCCTTTTAAATAGCTCTTTCCTTCCCTGAAGAGGACTGCGGAGCCTGACATGATGCAACCTAATAGTGATAAATACATAGTACATGATTCGAAATAACGACTCATACAAATATTTACTGTATGCAAATGAGGGATACTGAAGCTGGGCCAATAGTTTCTAGTACCCTGAGAGCTTTCTTATCAGAGGATATCATACGTCACACAACAATCGATGCTGTTAGGCTTCGATGAAAGGGTGCATGGTTTCTACATTAATTCAAATACGCTCTATTTCAAAATAGTATGGATGCTGATCTAGATAGAGAGAACAAGAATATCAAGTTATCTAGGATATAAATTCTTACCTCGAAAAACTGCAGACTTACAACCAAACACTCTTGGAGTTCTTGACATTGAAAAGTTATAACCCTTTCGAAAAATAAGCCAAATTTGCAAAGACTGAGTGATAACTGGTCGAGAAAGTTTCAATTTTTCCTCTTCCTCACCGACACGTGGCTGAAACAAAATCAAATTTTATTTGTAAAAGAAAATTGTGACTATGCTTTTCGAAATCAATTTTTCATGTGTCGCTGAATCAATCTTTATTCCAGTTCTCAAAACTGATGCGACATTGGATGCAAGCAGTTTGTGTCTAAGAACCAGAAATTAGACAGAAACAGCAACTCCGTCTCTTTCTATGGTCAGCGGTTGAATCAAACTTTATATTTCGATGCCTTATCAAAGAAGCCAATATGACTCATAACGAAGGGAAACCAACAATGATGATGTGAATATAATCGTTGAAATTAGGATCTGTAAGCAATTTGTTACCTTAAAATGATTAATTTGTACCAATCTGTTGGAAATACGTGCTCTTATTTGAATCTGTTGATCCTCACGTCTGATATCTTCCAGGTGGACACTTGCCGCTGTAATAACGTTTCCCTTTCTGAGGTGTACCTCAATTGAAAGAGTATTCAGTGTACTGTGTATGGATCCAATGGAGTGCCTGTGGATATCCAAGGCCTCGTTGCACTCTAAACGTGGAAAAAAATGTATGGTATCACGGCACCTTTAAATTTGACCGTATGAGTTTCCAGCGCGCAGGTGCAGTTCAATTAAGTCAATGACTATCAAGAGGGATAAACTAATCTATCTTATTTTTCATAACGCTGGTGGAGGACGGACAGTGGAGGAAGGGATGGTTGAACCAGCAATTTTTCCCAGCTCTATCTACTGGAAATGTATTCCGAAAACAGATCTACCGGTGTCTATACCAGATCATGCAAGACATTCTTGAACTGAATCAGCCTTTCTCTCTGGTCAGCATAATCATGGTGTTCGATTACGTGCGACCGCAAAATCGTATGTTTGTTTCAAATACTATTGTTTTTGTTACAAATAAATAAAAAACCAAACAACATGAACATCAAGAGGCTAAGAATCTTAGAAAGCAACGATATAAACACAGCTGTTTATTTTCGAGCCACCGATGTTCTAAATATTTACTTTTTTTTATTCCCCTGTAACAGGGTCAAACTTTTTTACCATTCTATTAAAAGATTGGTCAAAGATAGAGCAAAGAAACAATGAACGAGCTAAGAATGGGATTCCGAGCGTGAACTAAGCAAGTTTCTCTTCTCGTTGCTCTGACATGTATATATCAACAATGCCTTAAACAAAGAACTGTTCCTCCACTCCAGCGCTAGTATAGTCGATCGCTTTACATTTACTGATACTTCAACTATTCGCATCGTTCGATGAAAGAAATAGAAAACAGTTCTTACTAAGCAAGCACTTGAAATTCACTGCTGTCCAAGTGTTCCCATTGCATTTTATTATTGGTAGCCCAGTGAGGTACAAGCCTTGTTTACAACCAAAGACAACCACGCTGCCATTTTTGTGGTTTCCTCGCTGTGCAGGATAAACGATGGTCGAACCGTAAGGAGAAATTGGAGGCTGACATGAAGATCCTTCAAAATAAGGTCGACACAAATGACGCAATAGTATATAAGGCTAGGTGATTCATCATGGCGCGGCACGAGCAGAAAAACTATCGATGTGCCCCACATAATATACCATAATGACGTGTGCCTGTAATGAAATTAGAGCCCTCTCTAACATGTTGTGGAGTGCCTGCCATTCTGGTAACTTTATATTTTTCTCAACTAGAAACACGAGGTCTCTCAGCGTCGCAAACAGACGTAAGTAACTGGGTTAGTATGGCAGCCTATTGTCCTGCAACCGTAGCGTGAGGCAATTATCGATTAAAGAAAATATATTTTTTAATTATTTCAAACGTTGAAAAGTCGCCAATAAGCGTATCTCTAAATCATACCTGGAGCGGAACATCCATACAGCTCCAGTCTAAGGCAGTAGGGCTTAGGATGGGTGTAATCCAACGTCATTGGATTCTTGGGATAAATTCTTATTAACTGTGTTCTGATCGGAGGATCTAAGATATTTGACCAATAGCCATGAACATTATTGTTGCCTGTTAGCTCCTGAAAATGAAAAAGAAAGTTAACTTTTCAGATGGTTCATTTGCAACATGAGTTAATTGCTTAGTATTACATTGTGTCTCAACGCCCTAGATTCAAGTATGATTTATATTTAACTCTCAGAAGTCATAAACTTGTAACTTCTCCCTGCATCGGCCGTTTTAGAGCATACCCACGATACCGGACACCGCCCGCTGAGCGAACCTGATCCAAAGATCCACCAAACACAGTCGTGGAATTCCATCCAGTCAAATCTGAGCACAACAGTTTATGGGTGGAGCATACTCAATTGACCTTATCGCCTGAAGAAGATTAGCAGTGTGCAGTTGAAACGTCGTAATCTTCATCTGCAGTGTCCGCATTGTGAGGCAAATGATTATACTTCTCTTTCGAAATGTCTACTCGTTATCCAGCAAACAGGTTGTGAGAATGCTTAAACTAATCTGGTAGAAGATGATATCTTGATCAAACACCAAATTCTTGAAACTCAATTACACGGAAATGTTTTCTTTCGTTTGTAACCACCCGCGTAAAGTACACTATATTTGCTACTCCGTTTGTTCGCTGAATTTTGCCATATTTCGAGTGCTAAATAAACAAATCCCTGTTTTCATTTTCAAATCATTTCTCGGATTTCTTCGACAATTTTTACAAACAGATATGGCAAAATTAAGCGTACAAACGGAGTAGCAAATATAGTGAACTTTACGCGGGTGGTTACAAACGAAAGAAAGTTTTGTTGGAGATAAAATATAGTTGCAAAGATACTCCAAGGGATGAAAAACAACGTATAAAAAAATTAATCCAAGATAAATTTTCGTTGGCTTGTGCGAGCGTTGTGAAAATGCACTAAAAGCCAGATAGAAAGTATGCAAATTAGGTACGTTTTGGCCGATTTCGAACTTTCTTATTTTTTGCCAAAATAAAAACTCGCTGGAACTTTTGAAAATTATTTTTGAAAACAGTTTACCAAAAGGGTATTTTGGAGCAAATAAAAAAAAAAAGTTGAATTTTTGCTTCTGTCGCCGGACTCTTGAAAATTACTGACAACCTCTCTTAAAGGGTTTATGGGTGCAGACAGTACACTTTGAAGGCTCTTTTAAATTTATGTCTGGAACTTTTCATTTCTCTCAAACCCGCGACAAAGCAACATTTTCCAAGCTTGAAGGATCGTGAAATATTCGCAATTTTTTTTGAGGGTTCGTGATACACACATCTTATATAATACTAGCACTAACTTGCTAACTTTTGAAAGATGTTTTAAGTAAATTTCACATTTCCTCTCGAACTTGAGAGTATAAAAAGAAGGGTATGTTAGATCAGCCCCCTTGATACAATCCGGTAAACCAAAGAACAAAAATCAAATATAAGAAACTAATCATATAAAACTCCAAGAACCTCATTATATTCTTTCCACTTTCCATTTTCCAGAAACCTGACTTCATATTTTGTCGCCCATGCCCGATCAGAAGAACTTCCTTGGGTTATTATTTCAGTAATAATCTTTGGTTCTTCCAGCTGGATTTGTATATATGGCAATTTGTCACATAGCGCAGAGCACCAGGCCTTTGAGCCGTCCAAACGTGCAAAGTGAGGGGAGTTGTCTGTACTTTTTGAAGATGATGCTGTAATTCTCTCGTTTGCAATTCGTTTATTTTGCATTCCAAGCTCATCGCTGCAACTCTCTGCAAAAAAGGTCGATGAATAAAAGAATTTGGCTCGACTCTGGTTTGTTGTAGTCAGTAGCTGAGGAACACTTTTCAATTTAACGCTCCCCAACATAAACGCTGCGTGTATCTTTTACCTCAGCTATTTTCCCATCTTCTTGCAATCAGCGCATGCTTTTGTCGTAAAGAAATTGGAAATGCAGAAATTTTAGCTGGGGAAGGGGGGAATAGTAAAATATAATATTATGAGAAAGGTTTTAAAATTTAATTGGGCCACTGAGTTAATGATTTACACTGAGGGAGACATTGGTGGAGACTTGGTGTACAAAAATAGTTTCATGATATCATCCCAGTATCTCTTCATAAAGGCCGCATAATGCATTTTACAAATTAAAGTGAATGTGACGAGACTTTGCAGCAAAGTGCTTTGACCATCGTTAGAAAAAATGACTTTCACGCTAATGTTTCCGACTGAAAAGGGGAGATAATATCCAGGATGACTGACTTTCTACACCATGTAAAATGGGAGTTTGGTTCCTTTACAAGAATACCGTATTCGGTCACCGTCGGTGGAAGTTTTGAATAGGTATGTCATTTAAAGCGAGTGTATTTCGTTATTAGCTTGCATTGAGTTTTTTAGCGTGCGTAAACTTCTCTGAAATGTTCTTATTTTGATAATCTCGCTAATGTCAGACTAGGCAGTAATGTGAGCCGAAAATCTTAATCGTGTTCAACTGTTGGCGCAACTACCATAAAAGCTCATAACTTCGCTTTTCGTGTCAACCGATTTTTAATCCATGTTAATCGCAAGCTTATTATATACTTAACCTAAAGTAAAGCTTTTTTAAGAGTAAAGTTTAAGACATTACATAGTAAAACAAGCCTCCTTTTTTTGTTGCCCCGCTACTTACCATTAGATCCGAAATAGGATAAAACCACTAAAAAGTAAACAATACAAGCAGCACAAAAAATGGTTTGAACCTGGGGGTGACATGTAATAGTGTAGTTTGATTATTTGACACTGTTACGACTATTGCCGACAAACGAGCCAACAAAGCAACTGAACGTGCCCGTACTGGACATCAACAGAAACTGACACGACTTCTACGCAACAAAGAACAGCGACGAAGTAAACCGGACGACAATTAGGTAAGGAATATCTCTTCCCGTCTCTTAGACAAGAATGAAACTCGCGTACTGTCATATGGCAGCAAATTGATTAAAGCCGAACAACATCCTCTTAAACGACTGAAAAACGACGAGGACATAGTTATTCTACCAGCCGACAAACAACGAGTTACTGTTGTCATGGACAAGACTGCCTATCACAACAAAATAGACGCACCAGTTAACGACAAACAAACCTACAAAGAGCTCAAACGTGACCCAACTCCTACGCTTCAACGCGAACTCAACATCACATTACTGACGCTCAAGAAGACAAACGCCATTGACACCCAACGCTACTACCGACTAAGGTGCTCAGTACGACAGCCACCGAAACTTTACGGTCTGCCGAAACTACACAAACCTCAGTGGTTTCCCAATGCGACCTACTGTTTCTTTCTGTGGTTTTCCGACATACCAACTGTCCAAGTACCTGACGACAATACTACAACCGCTCACGGACAAATCCAGACGTAACCTACAATCCGCCGAGGACTTCATTAACGCCTCTAAGACTGTAGAGATACCTGACGACTACGAGCAGAAATTGTAGCAGAAATTGTGATGCAGAACAGAAAGAAAGCGCCCTTTCGACTTGCCGTCAAACAATACCGCTCTGGTTACGCGGCGTTGACGATACTTTCACCGCCGTACGACACGACTGAATTGACGCATTCCACCACCAGCCTTGAAAAATCATCCTACAACCCGACATCACACAAAGCCACATCTCTCAGGACTCTTACGCGACGAGCGCAACTAGTATGTAACACGACAGACAGCTTATCCGACGAGAACAAGTACCTTGAAAACAACTACAACGAAGACTTCATCCAATGTAACACTCACCGATCTGCTACTACAACCGAAGCTAACGACAACGCAACTCCTTCGACTACAGCAACTATACCGTACACAAAGGGCATATCTGAGAACATCTCGCACATCCTACAACCATTCAATAACTGCGTCGCTCACAAACCTTATACCATACTACGTCAGTTACTGACTAACGTCAAAGACAAAAACGACCCGAGAAACAGAAAGGGAGAAGTGTATAAGATCAGTTGCTCCGACTGCCGCGCCTCCTACATCGGTGAGACCGGCAAAAACCTCACAACTAGATTGACTGAGCATAAACGAGCCAAGAGGAAACGCGATGTCAACAATCACATTGCTGAACATTACCGACTTACGAACCACACTATTGACTGGGACTATGCGCAATGCCTAACCTACAGCACCAACTACTTTCAACGACTAACCCTGGAAAGCTGGTTTACCAACTTGGAACAGACTCAGCAGGTATCAACCACTACCGGCACCATACAAAAGACTCATCTACGACATTAACATTACAAACGAACCGAACAGAACGACATAACTTCACTAGCGGATCGAGACCGACCGACCTAAGCTACTTGAGTCTTACAGCCAATAACATCACGGCAAAACTGACCATTCGACTGACAACAACTATTCACTTGAATCTGAGGATGACTTCCGCTCAGGTTGTCAAAATGTCAGTCACCACTACCGACAACAGTCCTTCTCAGGACTACACTCACCCGGACGATCAAACTACACTATTACAATACAAACAACATACAAATTCCTTTTCTTTTGACTTTCTCGTAAATGAGTTAATCTATTTCGTAAGGCACTCATGGAGTAAAATATGTCGTCTTCACTAAAACGATTCGCATTGAATGAGGAACTTGGATGTGGGCATTATTTTGATCCACTGTAACATTTACTCCCTCTGAAGCTGAACATTTAAAACTAGTCAGATGCTAACCTTCAGTGCGTTTGTCTGAAAACTTGCCGAAATTTACTCATTTATTATAACGACTTCCCTTAATCTTTTTGCTCCACAGACACGTCCGAGTAAAAGATACACAAAACTTACACTCATCAAGGAAAACCGGTTACTGCTTTTATGAACTGAATTTTTGCCAATTAAAATGGGGTTATACAATGAACTAAGTAAACCATGCAAAGTCGAGGTCGAGGTCAGGAAAATCAAACACATACAGAAACACATCTGGCTATCTCGCAAAAAGGAGTAGGAGTCGTAATCCAAACAATTATTTATAGGGATTTAAAGGTAGCGACTTCATAAAATAGGCTCTAAAAAGGTTCCAAACAGGTTTGCTGTTTTGGGGGGATCCAAGAGTTTCAAACGATTGCCATACGGAATGGCTCCGAGGAAGTTTCTGCGAGATGCCTGACTGCTTTATTTTGACTTGGTGAGAATCGACTGAACGCCATCGCTTTTCGAGACAATTTCAATTTATTTAGATGAAAAGAATGCTGAAAGCCGACGCATGACATTCTCTTTCGTTTTGATAGAACCGGATTGTTTATCCTCCAGACTGAGTGCTAAGGGAAGCTTATTGAGCATAACGTGTATGAGAGGTCACTTTTATTTAGATACATGTTTAATCGAGAATTTGTCCCTCGTGCCCGCTTTGTCAAAAGCTGGTATGATGCAGTCGTTATTTTGTCGTATTCACCATATGTGACGATCACAAACGAAAATGTAAAGGACGCTGAAACCATCCCACACGTTTCATGAGGAAGCCCGTAAAATTTAACCTTCTTACTGAAATAGGTTGCTCAGTCAAATTGAGTTAAGGATGTGGAAAGACAGCCTTTTAAATGCAATATACTTCAAGTTCCTTTCACATTGTAATTTAACAAAAGAATATTAATCTCAAAGGGGCAGCATCTCCAGCAGCGTTCAGTGTCAGTGGTTAATTTAGCTTCCTAGTTTGCTTTGTAATTTCTCGTCCGATTTCATTGTTAAATTCAAACATGATGTAGTATGCTTCAAACCTTATATTATTGAATTATTTAATGAGCTTACAGAAGAAAATGTTTCCAAAATTGTTCACCACTCGTTTGAACTTTAGTCTGCCGATTGATTTAACAATAAATTTAAGTTTAAAAAACCTCTGTTCCAAGGATGAAGCACGTGTTCCTATCGGTGTATGCTTCTGTTATAATCTACTGATTGAAAGAGTCCCATGGTACTTACTATTCATAGAACAACCAGACGACGTTCCTACACGGTATTCGTGGGTTTTATTGACGCGAAGGACAACCATGGAACCAGAAACACATCCCTTAAGCCCTTTGCCAATAATTATGTTTGCTGGCGACGGAAACAGTCGTCTTAAGAGTGCCACGTAAAACCTTACGGGAGGAACTTTGTCTACACCATATGAAACAAGACCACGGTAGATGCTGAGCCAAAGAGAGTGCCTCTTGCCATCGCAGACTTCTCCTTTTAATGACACAGCAAGATTCGAATGGCTCTTACCGTTAGGGGTACTGTATGACACTCGAATAGGGCCTATGTCGGGAAGCGCGATACGCAAGAAATGATTAGTGTCCTCACTCGTTATCTCCACCAATTGCCCCTTGCAAGTTTCAGTGGAGAATCTCAATTGAATATCAAAGCCCTTTACTTTATGGTAAACTGGGAATCGTTGAGTTTTCTTGCTGCCATAGTCTTGGAAGATGCCCTCCAAATCTGAAAAATAAATATAATTCATTACAGCCGAGTGTTTCTGAAACGACTGTTTTGTTCTATCTTACGAGAGTAGGAAGGTAAATAGGTGATACCTTTGAGTATCAACTCAAAGAGCATAAAGTGAACCAGTCATTTTGACTGTAAGCATTCACATTTTAATACTGAGATGGCAAATGATCCCCGGCAAAATGGGATTTAAGTAAACAATCGCTTCAATAAATTCTCTGTTATGAACTTCTGTTGCCTCATTGCGATGCCATCGAGTTACAAGCAAGAAACCCGCAGGACATTCTTGTATCCAATTTCTAAAATCTCACGCAAGGGCCGACTAATTTGAGCCCTTTTATAAACTATTTGATTTAAATAAATTTCTTGGCCAGAGGAACCTTTGACATGAAAAAGATGAAGTAACTCGTCTCGAATTTCTCCCTAATTTCTTCCTGGAACAGTTGGAAACGAAAAATTGTTTATTTTTCGATTTTCTTACTACAGTTTAGCTCGGCAGTTGAGCATGCGCATAAGTGCGCATGCTCAAAGTGTATTGACCGCTGGCCAAAAACACCACAACTTCTCCCCACTAGCTAGTGCATGCAATGTGGTAATTATTAAGGATCTGAAACGTTAAATCAAACACAACATGCCTCTTTAAATAAGCACAGACTTAATGTCACTTCAAAGTTCATAAATCCAGCCTAGCTGGGGGCTTCCGCACTCGGACCGGATATCGTCTAACAGGAACAGGTTCAGGAACAGGCCCACTCAAATTTGGTGGACTGCTGGCTGTAAGGTCAGCCATTGGACTTGGTGTTGGAATATCAGCCTCCATTTTGCTGGCTTATGGCTGTTCACTGGCTTCAGATACTGGGTCCCTTCGACTCTCAACCTGGATTGGAAGTTCTGAGGTCTGGGCAACACGGTTGCTGCTTGGTGTCACTGGAATTCTGATATCCTTCAGTTAGGCCAGACTAAGCCAGGTTTGACTTCTACTTCGTAAGAAAGGGGGCCAAGTTGTGTTCGGATGATGCCAGGTACCCTCTTTGTACTACCAGAGTAATTTCGTGCTATCACTGTTTGACCGATGAAGAATTCTCTGATTATAGCGCCACTCTTCGTGACGGTTTGGTCGATCTGAAGGTTGCTTATCTTCAAGTGGAGATCTGGTTTCAGCAAGTCCATTCGAGTGCGTAATCATCTACCCAAAGTAGCTGAGATGGCGCTTCTCCAGTGGTTGAATGGGGGGGTATTTCTGTAAGCTAGTAAGAACGTTGCCAGCTTAATGTTCAGAGGTTTTACTTCCGTTTCACTTTCCATGGCTGATTTGAAACTCTGCACACAGCGCTCGGCTAGACTATTGCTGGCAGGGTGGTATGGTGCAGATGTCAGATGTTTGATTCCATTTCTCTTGAGGAACATATGAAACTCTTCAGATATAAACTATGGCCCATTGTCACTCACTTACTGGGATGGCACACCATACCTAGAAAATAAGCTCTGTAGTTTCTCAATGGTTTTCGTTGAGGTCGTGGTGTCCATTTTTTCCATTTCCAACCATCTAGAATGGGCATCCACGACAATCAACTGAAAAAATCCAGCCGAGGAAAGGTCCTGCAAAATCAGTATGGATTCGCTGTTAGGGTGGTGATGGTCATTCCCATGGTGCGGTTATAGGTTCAGCCTGCATTGGCTGACAACCCGAGCAGGTCTTCGCGGTTTCCTCAATTTCCTTGTCGATTCCTGGCCACCATATGTAGCTTCTCGCTAGGGCCTTCATCTTCACCACTCCAAGATGTCCCTGATGGAGTTCTTCATGCACTTGTGGACGACGTTTTGAGGGTACTATGACTCTGATTCCCCACATCCAACAGCCTGAGTGTACTGTTATCTCATTCCTGCAAGCGTAGAAGGGGTCGAGTACAGGAACATGGCTGCTTAGCCATCCTTTAGTCACCATCTCATGGACTTGACTCAAGACAGGGTCTCTTTGGGTTTCTCTTCAGACGTTGTCAACTGTGATTGGTAACGGCTCAAATTGTATCATATTGAAACCATTCACTGGATCCACAACTTCTTTTGCTCTCTCTTCGGTTTTGAATGGTAGCCGGGAAAGGCTATCTGCATTGCTATGCCCTGTAGTGTTCTTGTACTCGATTTGGTAGTCATAGCCAGCCAGGAATAATGCATAGCGCTGAAGCCTGGATGCCGTAACCACTAGAATGCTCTTATGCGAATGGAAGAGGAATGTTAGCGGCTGATGATCGGTGTAAAGGGTGAAAGATCGGTCAAAAAATACACATGGAACTTCTTGACCCCTCAGATTATTGCCTAAGCTTCTCTGTCAATTTGCACGTATCTTTGTTCAGTTTTTGCGAGTGTCCCGGAAGCAAAAGCAATGGGTCGCTTAGTCCCATCATTCATCACGTGGGATAGCACAGCACCAATTTCCACAGGGGATGCATCACAAGCAAGCCTTAGTGGCAGACTGGGGTCATAAATGTGTTAATACCTGCTCTGAGGAGTGGAATGTTGTTTCGCATTGTTCCGTCCATTTCTATTGATGGTTGTTCTCTAACAACTGGTTTAAAGGGTGTACCACTGTTGACAGGTTGGGCAAGAATCTGTTGTAGTAATTGACTAGCCCCAGGAACGACCTTACCTCAGCTATATTGCATGGGCGGGGCGCTTTGAAAAACTGCTTCCACCTTTTCTGGTGTCTTGTGGAGACCATGACTGTCGATATCATGTCCACAGAAGGTTATCTTCTCGTTGAAAAACTCACATTTTGTCTTGTTTGCTCTTAACCCATGAGTCTGCAAGCGACGTAAAACTTCTTTTAGGTTGGCAAGATGCTCTTCATCATTCTTTCCAGTGATGATCAAAACATCAAGGATACAGCTTGTTCTAGACGTTCCTTCTAACACTTGATCAATGGGGCGCTGCCAAGGTGTTAATAGTGAGGTATTTCTTTAAATCTTCTTCCATCTCTAATTGGTGGTACGCTTGGCGGAGGTCAATCTTTGAGAATTTCTGTCCACCAGCAAGGTTTTCAAAGATGTCTTCATTGCAAGGAAGAGGGTACTGCTCTGCTTGTAGTTCTGGATTCACTGTGACCTTGTAATCACCACAAAGTCTGACGGAACCATCTTTCTTGAGGACAGGCACAATCGGTGTGGCCCATTCACTCCACTCCACTTTAGTGAGACTACCTTCATTCTGGAGTCTTCGCAGTTCTACCCCTACCTTTAGCTTTAATGCAAACGGCATCGGTCTGGCCGTGAGGAAGCGTGCTTAAGAGTTAACTTCGCTTCAGCTGATGTAAAGGTGCCCAGTTTAGTTTCAAAAATATTTGAGCGCTTGTCTAGCATAACGTCCAAACACTATTTAGGACTTGAGGTATCTAGTGAAGCATACAGCGACTTGATAGAACACCAGTCTAAGCGTATCGTGCGCAGCCAATCTCTTCCCAAAAGAGCAGGACACTTATTCTTGACGACATACAGGTCCAGCAACTCTCTTTGGGTTTGGTAATCCACGGGTACTTTGAGCACTCCTACTGGCATAATGGTTTCCCTAGTGTAGGTTTTCAAGGACAGTCCAGTTTCTTGCAGGGGAAGCGTGTTACATTTCTGCTGGTAGAGGTCAAATGAGATGATCGACACAGCCAAACCCGTGTCCAGTTCCATCTTAAGCGGTTTACCATTAACATCCAAATAAACCCAGATAATATTATTGCTCTATTTCCTCACATTGTGTACTTCGAAGGTGGCTAACATGTCTTAATAATTATAAGCATCAACATCAACATCAACCTCAAAAGCATGTACCGTGGGGGGTTTTGGTTACTTGCTTCGGCTTGCCTTGCTGTTTGGAACAACAAACCCGCTGAATATGGCCCTGTTTTTCACAGTGGTGGCAAATCTAGTTCTTGTAAAAACAACTGTGCATCTGTCATATGTGTGTTTCCACCACAACGGTACAATGGGGGGTGGTCGCCGTTTTCGCTTGTGTTGGTTTGTTGTGTTCAGTCAACATGTCAACGCGAGGGACTTGGTTGGAATTGAGCTCACTGTATTCTGAAGTATCGCGCATGGCAGTTTCCATTGCTACAGCAATCTCCACAGCTTTGGAATACTTAAGTTTGGCTTCTGACAAAAATTGCTTTTGAATTTGCATATTTTGGAGTCCACAGGCCAGTCTCTCTCGTAGCCTTTCGTACAGATTCCCGCCAAAATTTCAGTGTGTTGCAAGCTTCCTTAGCTCGGTAAGTAAGACAAAATGCCTTCTCCTTCATGTTGGTTTCTCTGGTAGAAACGAAATCTTTCCGCAATTTCTAAGGGCTTTGGGCTTAAATGCTCCTGGAGAGTGGCAACTGTCTGTTGAGTATAGGTTTTCCCACCGATCAAGCTCAACAAAGTTGGCTCTTTATGGGCATTATCGACGTCGTTCGCTAAGAAAAACTGTTCTACTCGTTCCACATAGGTTTCCCAGTCCTCCTTTGTGTCATCAGAACTCTCTATCTTCCTAATAGCGGTTGTAATTTCTTGAATTTTACCTCGTCGCCACTGTCATGTCTTTGATTCAAACGAACACGTTTTGGGAATAGTGCATAAGTCCGCATGCTCAAAGTGTATTGGCTGCTGGCCAAAAACACCACGAGATTAAACAACTTTCATAAATTTTCATCCTGCTGGCAACAAACTGGCAACCTTCATGAAACGATTAGGAGGAGTGCATCAGGCATTTAGATCATGGCCAAAAGATTCGTCGCTCGTATTGAGTGACTATTGATCAGTCTGTCAGGAGACAATCAAAGCGCAGATTCTAAAATGTAATCAACCGGAGTCATTGCAAGGCAGAGGCTTACCACACATGTGAATTCAAATTAACTTCGTTTCTTCTATGTGATTCTAGAGAAGATTTACCACGAATTGTCAGGATTCGTTAGTAAGCGGAATTTGACATACCTTGCGAAGTGTTTAGCTCCGCATTCAGGATGCAAGAGATCAGTACCCACAAGCCTTTTCTTAGGATAGCGGACCCTACAACACACATACAGAAGAACAAAACAAGTTTAAAACGACTGCGCTTATCTTTGATCAATTTAACTTATTGAAAATAGATTGACAGGGTCTCCTCTCCATGATTTATTCGTGATATTTCCTAAACATTCTGTCGTTTGACTGCCTAATGAACAGCGCGCTCCTCGTTGACAAAATACCGATTTATCTAGTAAAGAGACAATTATTTTACATAAAGTGAGACAGGAAACATGATATCAATTGATGGAATCACTGTATCATGATGATACGTCCATAACTCGCAACTACCCTCTAGTTATACTCATCAGCACTATAACACCATAAGGAAAAGACTAGCGTAACTATTTAAATTGTTATCACGCTCATTCGATCTGAAAATGTGTTTAAAAGAACATCATATTTACATGCCCTCTCACGCGACCCTCACGTGATTTTAACAATTAGAGAAAAACAAATTTTTAATACTCGTATTTCATATTTCCATCGTTAAGTTGTAAATTAGCTGCATGTAGAATCAGCTGAATTTGAGCAGAGAAGGAGGGGTTTTTGCGCCAATTGGCGATTCATCATATCGCGGTATTACAATAAAGTTTAGCGTGCTAAGGTTATCTTCTAATACCTCTTGGACGCAATCCGACACCTTTGACGTACTATCACAGCGAGCAAACTATACCACACTCCTAATTCCTATTTTTCTATTCTTCCTCTTTCAAAAAATGCAAATTCACATTTATATGTACAAGTTTCTAGGTAAATTTTTGTAACAGTTGCTTCTAAAAGTAAGCTGTTTATCATGATCGAACCGAACGAAAAGACTCCTGATCTCATGCGCCTGTGTTATGTTGCTTGTTGATTGCCTGCTCTTATTCCAAACAAAACAAATTCTCAGATTTCGGGTGTCTACGTCGAGACTCCTCTACAAGACAAAAATTTCCACGCACTATAGCTTATTTTCCTGGTCGAAAACGGAAATATGAAACGCACAAACATGATTTATAAATAAAGAAACAATCCACTTTCTACTTCAATCATTTTGATCTCTCTTTCGACATAAGACACGTGTTACTCCATGTCTGTTGACCAAGTATGCTTCTCCTCTTATAACATGATCTTAACACATTATCTTGATAAACGAAACACCCATGATATCACTAATGTAAAGCTATATACGACGCTTATAAGTCATTTGAAATCTTTGTATTGAGATAACCACATTGTGGTGTACAAAATTAAACAAACAAAGTCATTATCGCTCTTGAAATATACTTCTAGTCCTAGAAGATGAAAAGTTCTCTTAGACTCACCCATATATTACTACACTGTGGTAGGTGCGTTTAGTCTATAATAGGAAACGTCCAAGACGAGTTTTACGAATGCGACCCGATGCCGAAATGGTTTACATGAACTGCGTTGTCGACAGGTCAGGTGTCAAAAGAAAAGAAAATATTTATAACTTGATGAGCTTCCTGTCTCTTTTTTTTCTGTGTAACGCAGTACTTGCCTGATACTATACTCTGGGCGAATGCGGCAGCAGTTTACAAAGGGAAAGGATTTAGTTATAAGGAATCTGTCAATTGTACTAAATAACGTACATGAGTAACATCGACATCACAAGAAGGAAAGCATTAAGGAAAGATGTCGCTACGCTGGAACTCAACAGCTTTCCAGTTCCCTATTGTAATGAAAAAAAGAAAACAAACACTCAAATAAAAAAACTAGTTAAAGAAATAAAAATATTAAGAACTTAAAGTTTCATAAAATGTGCGTAAAAAGTGAGGTGGAGGTTTTATTTTAAATTACTGTAACGCAATCTGTAGCTTGAAAGCGAGATTATATCAAGAAACCATTAGCAGACATGATTTTTCAAAAAGATTTTTCAGCTCATAGACCTTGTGTGTAGGTATGGTTTGCCGCGAGTAGGAGGTTTTTCCCTTTTTTTCCGACCAGCATGCATCCATAAAGGTATTGTAACCAACAGCTTTAACTGCTGAAGTACCTTGCAATAGAAAAAAATTGCCTCCCTATTTATTGCAAATCTCTCTTTTTTAAGTTTGACGTTTAAGTTTGATTAAGTTTCGGATGAACCGTGAAAATTTGAACACAGATGTATCACTATACTTAGCCTCAATAACAATAGTTAAAAATTTTTCCGATAAGATGTTTTTTTCAGAATTATTTTAATATTGTTCAAACCCTACCCATATAATCCATATTCATCTGAAGCTTAATATATACTGAACCTATAGTAAAGTTGAGAAAGAGTAAAGTTTAGATAAGTTTACGTAGTAAAACAAGCAACGTTTTCTGTTGCCCCGCTACCTACCATTAGATCCAAAATAGAATGAAATCAGTAAAAAGTAAACATTATAAGCAGCATACAAATTCATTTCCTTTGACTTTCTCGTAACCAAGTTAATCTATTTCGTAAGTCACTCATGGAGCAAACTATGTCGTCTTCATTAAAACGATTCGCATTGAATGTGGAACTTGGATGTGGGCATCATTTTGATCTACTGTAAGATTTACTTCCTCTGAGGCTGAACATTTGAAAATAGTCAAAGGCTAACCTTCAATGCATTTTTCTGAGAACTTGTTAAAATTTACTCATTTATGATTACGACTTCCCTTCATGCTTTTGCCCCACAGACGTGCAAAGCAGGATTAGACTGGTGCTGTCAACACGTCAACACGTTAGCAAATGATCAGAGTAAAAAAATACACAAAAACCTACACTCATCGAGGACAACTGGTTACTGTCTTTATGAGCTGAATTTTGTCAATTAAAAAAGGGTTCTACAATGAGCCAATTAAACCATGTGAAGTCGAAGGTCAGGCAAATCAAAACACTTAAAGAAACACATCTGGCTATGTGTCTTGCTTTGAGCTCGATGGTAAAATTGTGAATCAATGCTTTTGAAGTCTGAGTTCGAGCCTTTTACAGAAACCCCTCCCATTCGTCTATAATATAACTCCCTAACAACACATTTTCACTCTCAATTTATTAAGCATTTGAAAGATATATATATATAGCATTCGTAGAATAACATCTCTGATTGGCAAGTTTGACTTCACTAGATCGTGAGAAGGATCGATCGCGTTGAAGAGCAAAGGCTTCCATCTATGTAGGTAGCATTTCTTTTTGTAAGTTTACTCGTAACGCGCTCTAACAATCTAGCCATAGCTATGTGATCGTGAATTGTTTGGATCGATTTTGAATCTACTTATTTATCGTGCAAAAAGACGGCGGAAACAGAAGTGTACGCCTCTTAAAAGTAATAAACACATCCTTCCGGTTCATAGTTATACCTAATGGTGTGTTTCCTTTTGAAAAGATTTTGGTTGTGTCACGATAAAAATTAACAAGTTAACAAATAAAAATTAAAAAATAAACAATAAGCTTCATAACTTACCGTCGGTGTCGAATTCGTCTCCGCTGCACAGGAACGCGCTGTTCCAGCAAAAGCGGATGATAATATCATTACCAAGGAATGGCTATTTATTTTTTCAAGACTGGATACTTTCCAAAAGCGTCAGGTCTTTGTTTGAAAAGGTTTATTTTATTTAAAAATAATTTAAAAAATAAGACAGAAAATGGTACAAAACAACGATAAAGAGAGATAGAGAGACGAGGGGGATTTCTTGCGCATTATTAAAACGCACCGAGAGGTCATAGACCATACTGACACTCGCAAAAAGGAGTAGGAGTCTTAATCCAAGCAATTATGGATAATTTGAAGGTAGTGGCTTGATAAAATGGGCCATAAAAAGGTTCCAAACAGGTGTGCTGTTTTGGGGGATGGAATATTTTCAAACGATTGCCATACGGAACGGCTCCAAGTAAGTTTCTGCGAGATGCCTAACTGCTTTATTTTTACTTTGTAAGAATCGGCTGAAGGCCATTCGAGACAGTTTCAATTTTTATTTCTTTACGCGGCAAAAAAAAAAGAAAAGAAAGAAAGCTACCGTACGACTTGGAAATAACTGCCTACAAATGATGGTTAGCCTGTGTGTAGTATAGTCCCGGTTGCGGCAATAAAAATCGATCCACTCGCTACGATATCTTACCAAATCATGTCTTACAATTATACAATGACTAGCGCAGTTTTAATCATTTTTACCAAACACATTTTAGAGGTCAATTGAGAAGCTTCTACTTTACAATGGGTAGAGTAATTTGTCACCTGAAGTCCTCTGCCCCTTACAGTAATAAAAAGAGGAAAAAGCTTTGCTCCTTAACAATGATTTTAACTTCACTTTATCATTAAAAAAAGAAAAAAAATGAAAAATTTAAGGGATCTTACTGTTGCATACTCAAGAACTTTCTTATTTCTTACAACAATGTGTTGGTTTCAGTGCGAAGGCGATCTCTCGATTTTTTTGGCAGATTGAAGTTCCACAAATCCTCTTTGAACGATAGTCCACCAACACTACCCCTCAAAGGTCGAAGATGGGGGTTTTTCCATGAAGTCTAACCCCACCCCCATAAGGACGTAAAAACTTTTGATGTATTAGTCAAACATGAACTATTTAAACAACACTCCTTTGAATACTCTTACGTTTTCTAATTTTCTTTGCCACTCTACAATAGGACACTGAGTGGAACTGAAAGATCTTTTTATGTTTCCCCTCTTCCTAGTGAAATTAGTGGCAAGAGTCGTCTACTTTCTTCAAAATAAATGTAGGGTTTGAGTGAGCACGAAGCTTCGATCTTGTTGGCGGATCGAGCTTCCACAAATCCTCTTTTAACGATAGCCCACCTTTAGTGCGTCCGTTAAAAGTGAAAGATAAATTTTACAAGATTGTTCAATACAGTTCAACATCCGCACAGACATTTTATATATCATGTGAAATTGAACTATTTACACAATTCTCCTTTGAATAATCGAACGTTTTCTAATTTGCTCTGCCACTCTTCACCGTTTGTTTCAATAGGACAGTGAGTGGAACTGCATGATCTTTTTATGTTTCCCCCCTTTATTTTTCCTCGCGAATCTGTTCCAACGACTGTAGTGCCTTCAGATAGCTGGTTGACGTTAGGTTTCTCATCAAGTATTAGTATGTCATCTTTGCTTAAATATTTGTATCGTTTTCCTTCAACGACCTCCCACTTGACGCCCCAGACAGACGCAAAACGCCCCTTACGATATGTTCCTCCCTCTTTGAAGAGGACTGCGGAGCCTGGCATGATACAACCTAAAAAGACAAGGACGCAAAACGTGAGGCGAGACAACAATATGAATATTTACTGCATCAAAACTGAGGTGATTCTCAAGCTGAACTTCGAACAGTTTCTCGTCTAAAGGATTTATTTAATACTTCATACAACCATCAATGCTGATCACTGTGATTTTAGAAGAAAAGACGTTTTAATTTTCTACATTTCAGTCATAACACCGTTCCATTTTAATTCCTAGATGCTTATCCAAAAAGGGCTTTGGAGAGAGAACTCAAAGATACAATTCATCGATGAACTAAGTGATCTAACCTCGATGTACTGCGTCACATCCATATAACGTCGGTGTTAAACAACTAGAGATTCTTCGTCTGGTGACAAGCAGAACTTGCACAAACCGAGTAATAACCGGTTGAGGAAGTTTCAATGCTTCCACTCCTTCATTGAAATGTGGCTGTAGGTATGAAAATCTGATGTTATAATCGTGTAAGCGAATATGACTATGCTATACTTGAATATCAAATTTTAATATTCCACTTTATCACTCTCCCACAGTCTAGA